GTACAAACATACACATAAAATCGTTCACTTTCGATTTCTCTATGATTTACGGGTGTTGTAAGAACATGCAAATGTAATGTCATAACAGGGTGAGAATGAAGTTGGAAGTCTTTTTAATTCTAACAAGCCACCAACATCAGGGTTTCCCTCTTCAACTGTAAAGTGTCTAAAATTTTATGATGTAAGCATCACTCTCAATGTATGTAGAAAAGCATAAAAGTTTTCGAATTTCGAGCTAGCGAAGAATTATAACTGTAACTTTTGATGTTAATGAAAGTTGCTGCCTAACCAATCCGTTCCAGGAAGGACGGCGACAGTCGAATACAAATAATGTGTTTGTTTGTTTAATTTGAACTGAATCCGACCGAGATGTATTCACACCTTCAAACTAATTGCACTCGTCAGAGAAGGGAGTGTATTTCCTCCTCCTCCATCCGCCCCAATAAATTTGGTGACTAACGACAAGGAACAAATTCCTTGATGCTGTGTTATTGGTGGATTAGGCACGAATATGCATAACTTGGCTCCTTTATACTTGAACATATGCAAAAGTATTTTGCAAAATGTGTACGTGCAATGACGCCCATTAATTATTTTTCCAATCCAGTACACAGCCAGCGCACAATGAAATTAATGAAAACTCAATTTCACAACAAACATCGTTAGGAATCCTTTTAAATGAGTTATTTATGGAACCAAACTAATTTATTTTGTGTATTGAATAGGGTGACAAAAGGTAAGAAATGTCTTGAACGACTTTAGAGATAAGTCGTCATGTTATGAACCAATTTCGAATATTGCCAAACTCATTTCAACTCAGTCCGGCTTCTAATTGCTTATTAAACGAGCTCAATTAGAGGATTGAATTTGCAACAAATTTGTTTAGCTCTTTGACCTCGCCACAAGTATTTATTTGCCATCAACAGCCAGCATAATTTCCAAGTGCTTGGTTTGTACATACTTTCAATTTGAAAAAATAAATTATGCAAATTGACCACGATGAATCATGCGAGCTTGAAACTCTGCCTCCAGACGGAAAATGATGACTGCACATAAATGCTCTCCAGTGCAAAATATGCAAAAAGCAAACTTGTGCAATAACAATGAGTGTGTGGGATGGCCTGTGATGTAAGAATACTTATTTATGAGCATGGAAATTACTTCATATTTTATTCTGCAGGCAATGCATGCAGACAAGTTATATAATTTTTGGACCAAACCAGGCCTTATGGAATCATCATGTCTGTCTGTCTGCAATTGAATTGGCATAATGATCAACAAATTGCTTAGAGAGACCCTGACGACTGGGTTCGGGCCATATTAAGTCTGCACTAGGTTAGTTTTCCTGATTAGTTAAATAAATTCAAGCTCTGCAAATTGCAAACTGCAATAAACGTATCATAAACTAGCAAAATTATTGCCCTTGCTTGCAAATAATTCATGATGTGACGTAATGTTAATGCCCACCCTGATTTAAACTGGCTGAGTCGTCGGGAACAACGAATCTAATCCGACTCATGGAAATCTATAGCTGAGCTCGATTGGTTGGAAAAGTTTGGAAATAAATTAACTATTCCTTGCTTATGTTTGCAGATGAATATAAATAAGTTCCGCGTGCAATAATAAAATATCAAGTTTGATTGATTTAAGATCAAATTTCTTATTGATGAATGAATATGTACATATGTACATACACAGGTACATAAAATAAAAATGTTGATTAATTTAATGTGTGTATACACTAGACGTGTCAACAAATGACGGAATCCTTGAAACCCTTTTGTGCTAACTTTAATAATGTCACTTGCTATAAGTTAGTTACGTACATATGTACATAGATAGGTACTAGGTAGGTAGGTTGCTTTAATAATTACGATAACATATATTTTGTCCATGTTAATTGCAGGCGAATTTGTGGGTCTGTCTGTCTGTTGTGTCAGTAATATTTCATGTCCAATTATCCAACTCAATTAGATAGATAAAGACTACTAACAGGTATTATAGATTCCTTCCCGATTGTATTCATTAGCTCATCAAATGTTTAGCACAATTAAGTTCATGCTTTGATCACTTCTTCGACTTGTTTTGTTGAGCAGAAAGCTCCCTGAATATAAATTAGCATGTTTTTCGTCCGTAATCTAAAACTACTGTGTCTCCTCCTCCTCCTCTCAATCAAACCTGACAAGTCAATATTTTCAGTAAAAACTGGCAAATATTTGGACATCTTGACAATTCTCCTTTGATGTTACAGTCCAATTAATTGTAATGAATGGCTCATCTACGCATCTGTATATTTCTCAGTATCAAAGTATGATTTGCAAGCCAACAAAATTCAGTGGGCAATGAATCGGTTCAGTTTTCTCTGGCTCTTGAGCCCACACGCTATTTGCATGACCCATTGGCCTCATTGGTAATTCTGCAAGCAGAGACGGCTACAAAATGACTGCAAACTAATTCCTCCTCTGACTGAATTGGCTTTGGTTTGCCCAGCCCAGCAAGAAGAGCGTCGAGAAGGAGCGTCTCTCTCTTCTTTTCTGGCGAGTCGTCTATCCAAATCCAAAATCTAAACTTTCAATCTGTCGTGTGTTTGTAAAATAAAAGACTTTGCAACAAAAACAGGTTGGAGGATGGAGTTGGACATTTTTCTCGACCCGTCACTTTTAATGGGGAGGAGACGTCTGTGTCGCATAATGTTGGCTAGGTTATAGGTAGTTATACTTCATCGTGAGTGACCTGAACTTGATGACGAGGTTCATCAAGAGAGCAGCACTTATCAACAAAAATCTTTTTTTGTTTCGGTTCATGATGGATGAGCAAGTAAAGATACACCAACATGCCTAGAGAAAAAACACTCAAAATAAGTCGTCTGCCGTGCCCTGTTTGAAATTCAATCTCCCATCAATTTAGGTCTCTTGCTGAGAGACACGATTCTAATAATCATCACTGCACTGAATATTTGTAAAACACAGCATATGAGATCACCCAGATATATGGATGATGACCAAATAGACGGATTTAGACGCAAGGTGATCTTTGCATATGTACATAAATATATGACTCATTGAGGCGAGTAAGCGACATAAGATCAACCCAAATAATTGTTAAACTTCCCAAACTCTTTTTTCATCATATTTATCAGCAAAAGTCGAACTCTTCATGGAACATTACTCGACATCCTTGGTGTACTTAAGCACACATTAAATGCATTGTTGGATAAAAGATTCATTCACTTTGCGGCGTTTGTATGAATTTGTCATATCCGGATAAGGACTGTGCAAATAGCGAATGATCGACTTGCGGAGGGGTGAGGGTAGATGTTAAGGCATTCTATCCTTCCCAACAGGTTACACCAGGGGGGTAGGGGTCAAAATTCGCCGAAAATCGATCACATGCTTTATGTACGGCTCCATACCACATCATTGTGTATTAGCTACGCATGATCCTATTTTTAGCTAGGCTGTGATAAAAAATTATGCGTCAGTCAGTCATTCTTTTTCCCCAATGCATATTAATCCTAAGTTAAGCTAAGTTGTTTGCAAGGTAGGAGAATCCATCCAGACTGGAAAATCCACAACTGAAAGAAACTACGGCATAGAAGTAACAAGAGCAAGCTGGTTCTCATTGTCAAGAGTGAGTACACAAAAAACACGAAAATCAGTTCTGCGTAAGAAATTGTACCGGAATTTTTTACCGGGTAGGATAATTGGTTGGAATGTGCGGAAAAAAGTTTCGGGTAATCATTGATGAAGCTCTTTAAAATAAGCAGATACACGCATGCATAGTCTCAGTTGATGAACCTTACTTTTTGATTAACGTTCCTCTTATATTGCTCGACTTTGACAGGTCATCATCCCAGAGAAGATATTGAAAGGCAAATTATTGTTTGACTTGGTGTGCCAAACTGAGAAAAAGTGCTTGCCAACATTCTGCTCAAGCTTTGACAAAATTAACCAAAAATCGAAACATTGCAAACCACGATGACGATATATATCGTTGGTTGGCAGAGATATGTGCAATGCACAACATGTTAAGAACACAAGCAACCCGTCAGTCTGTCAATATAGGGTGTCAGTCATACGTCAGAGTAGGATATGATTCGAAACTGCGAAAAAAACTGTTTGCCGGGTAAGTATATGAAAAGGTAAAAGTGTATCTTATCTCTCGCCCAACAGCTTTTTGGAGGATGAATACTCGCGAGCACTTTATTTTTACATGCATAAATCTTCTCCTCTGTGGCATCATTTCGTTACCTCATAAAGCAAAGTACGAAGATAAATTGACTCGAATAGTTTGAGTAAATAGAAGCAGAGCACACTTTGTTGTTGGGCAATTACTTAAGTTGGACCAAAGGATAATAAGCACTTTTGGGCATATGTAGTTAGTCTAGGAGTAGGAATAGTAAGTACTGTACACACAAAACAGAACATCGATTCGCAATTTGGCAGGTGTTTGCTCTTTAAATAAGAGGACGACGGGGAAGAAGTCTCTCTCCATGTCGAAATCCTGGGTTGACGAAGAACAAGCAAACAATAAACCAAGTTGCCACGTTTGCATTTCTGTTATGTGCACAAGTTCAGCAATTTTTCATGCGACATTAATGTACTATAAATGAGTATATACTTAAGGTGAAGGAATTGGTATTACTGTGAAAAGTATGTACACAAGTGAATGCAAATATCCATAACTCTGAGATATTTATTCTCTTGCATATGTCCGCATGTGAAGTTATTATAGAAATTGCATTTTGGTGGTAGTTTCTTGGAAAATATTGAAGGTTGTATCCCTTGTAATATTTGCTAGCATGAGGGACAAATATGTATGTATGAAGGTGCTGCATGGCGGCTGCGAATCGATTTTATTGATGCAAACATGGCATGCATGAAGTAATTCACAACAACAACCACTGCCTATCCTGGCAGTATGGGAGGGTGAGATAATGCAATATGTAATACAAAATGATGGACAATTTAATGCCGAGCTTTAGGAGCTTTCTGTCGTACCTCAAAGGGGGTTTCGCCATGATGTCGACTAACGATTCGGAATCCACAAATTTCCGCCCCAATGGCCCGGATTTTCGGTTTCACTTCGACGACCAACTCATCCTCACGAATGAGACCGTGGTAGCCCGTTTCTGCATCCACCAGCTCGGGACGGGGCACTGCGAAAGACAAAACAATACGAGGATGACACTCATCATAAATTATGTTTTGACATCACCAGCTACATTATTCTATGTTCGATGGAACTGCTCCTCCAGGGGATTTAATACATAATTCCGTTCTGCTTTCTCTCCTCGTTGAACCTTAAGAATAGGGAGCGTTGGCAAGAGAAAAGTTTGCTGAAAGTTAACCACTACTTACTTACATTCGCTATAAACTAGGCATTCAAAGGAAACGTTCAGTAAAAACTGTAATTATATAATGTGGCATTTATACCCTTCCTGGTGTTTGTTTGCTCGACCCGAATTTTGCCTTTCTCCCTGCATGCAAAACCAATTTACCCATAAATAATGATCGATCATATCGATTTATTATTCCCTTCGCCTTCCATGCAAAGTTAGAAACACGTGAACAATGATTCGTATTTTTAAAAAACATGTCAAATGTATATCATGACGCAACGTGCAATTCTCAGCTCTGAACTAATAATAGCTCATTAAAAATGTAACTCATCTTAAGCGTCACGAACAGCAAAAATTAATTCAAATTGATTTGAAATTGTCTTCTTAACACGATCGTCTCGTCTCTTTGGTTTGGTGCAAACAAACCGTGGCATGTCAATTACTTTGCAAAATCTGCTCATTTTATTTAACCCTGATGGCACGATGCGACTTATTTATATTATATAAGTTATATGCAGAGACTGGCGGATTAAAGATATCGGGATTAAGGATTGAGATTGAGGATTAAATTTTAAAATCTTGGGATTGAGATTGAGGATTAAGGATTAATTTTAAAATTGTGGGATTAAGGATTGGGATTAGGGATTGAATTCAATCTGGGATTGGGATTAATTCGGGATTAAATTTTGGGTAGTTTTCAGGGATTGGGAATTAATTTAGTCCTGGATTAATTGTTTGCATTAAATTTCATCATGCCAGATTTTTAAAATAATTAAATGAATCTGAACTTAGGAACAAGAAATATTTTGAACATTTCACATGCAAAATTAGATAGTTTAAGAATAAAATTTTTAAATGGCAATTGAATATTTTTTGCACTAAAAATTATATACGGGAAAAATGCTAATTTTACTCTAGGTACTATTTTTAACGGAAAACTTTGACCAGAATTTGAGCAGAGCACTCACATTGCTCACACCAATGTTGAAAATTGTGCATTGAGGATACCACGTTATGAGTAGTTTTGCAAAATGATGTGCAATATTTTTAAATATGTGATAAAAATGAACGAAATGCAATCAATTCTTGAAAAGGGAGCGATCTTAAGAGAAGTTAGCTTTTCGATTTTTAATTCATTGCAAATTTAATCCCATTTTAATCCCATTCTAATCCCACTTTAGGATTAAACTTGGCATAGAGGGATTGGGGATTAGGGATTAAGGATTAAAATTCAAGAACTTGGGATTAAAGATTGAGATTGAGGATTAATTAATCCCCAATCCTAATCTCAATCCCCAATCCTTAATCCGGGATTGACCAGTCTCTGGTTATATGTGTACATGTATACGAACATAGCGAGCAAAGGTGGACCACCACTTTAGCACAAATGCAGTGGCGTATTATGGTTCAATAAATAAATAAAAAGTTCAATAACTCTTATCGGGAACAGGGACGCTAAATTACTTTGCGCATCGATTATTTATTACTTTTATTGACTGCCTACTCGGGTATGAAATTTACTGGGCAATAAACACGGACGTATTCATTTTCTGGTCGCAGTAGTGAGAGAGGTAAAATTTGGGGAAGACCGACGAAGCATAATATAATTAATTACCAACTACCATTTATTATTGGGCTTAAATAATACTTGTATGCGAATAATATTGAGGATGTTTAAAAAAATGTTTGTCAGTAATTGTAGATTGTGGTATTTTTATGAAAAAGGGTACAATACATAAATTGTACTGCATCATATGTGTACACATAAATATACGTACCAACAACCAGAAATTATAAACAATCTCTGCCATTCCAGAACTACAGATATACCAACTTGTATCTTCTGCTCTCATAGAGTTATTTAAATAACTCTTCGTAAATTGATTCAAGGAAGTAGAACAATGAGTTACAAATAACGAGTAAGGTGCACCCACCCACTCACTAATCCTAAGTATAATTAGTAATAATGCTCGTTTTGATGGGATATAATTTGCATACAACGTTCGAAAATTCCCATGACGTAGTTTGTATATATGTATTATGCCATTATGCCAACTGATCTAAAGTATTAGACTATCAGTTTACATAGAGTCCTGGATAAGATAAAATATACCCAGTTCAGTTAATTTCGTTCGTGCCCCGCATCTGGTATAATAGTCAAAATTCTCCCAAGCGAAATACACAAAGCTAATATATACATTGTATTTACGGTACTCCAAGGAAATATAGAAAATTGTAATCATGATTGCTTGTACTTTGGTGTGTGGGTGGATATGACTGATAAGCTAAACCAACATCTGGTAAAAAATAGATGATTTATAGTAAAAATTTCTGGTAACAAGAGTCATCTCTCAGTAGGAAAAATTTTTATTTAAACGCGGGAATGTTAATTTAATGGTTGGGTTACATACACCGTAATTGCTACGCGGTCTGTCACTCAATCAGCATTGATTCGAACAGGGCGATGAAACAAACCGAGATGACTAATTCCAAATTCGCATCCGTCGTTCCTGCACATTCTTCCTTGTCTCACGGATGTTGGAAGTGTGAATTTTCGAGTAAAATGAATGCCACTCTCGTCATTTGCATTTGTTCGTAAATGTCACAATATGTGACGATAATAAGCAAAGGGGGTGTATCATATAAATATTATTCGTTCAAGTCAGTGGTTCGCTAATTTGAGATGTTATTATTTTTAAACCCGGCCTGTTTTGTGTTTCTGTCGCATTTTTTGCTACTGGTTTAAAGTTACTTGCTATTATTAGATTATTATTATATTACGAAATATATAATTGCGTCCATCAATATTTTATTTTAAAAGCAATAAAGCCGACTTCCTGATAATTTCGTATTGTGTTTTCTAGAGGAAAACGATTACTACTGTGACGAATAGGTCAATAAAATAGTTCCATAAACCAGGTCAATTTTATTTATTGTAAACTACTCAAGAAGGTGGGACATGTAATAATGCGAGTTCCGCTTTAAAAAATTTATTTTAATGTACAGACTGTTTGTTAACATTCAGAATAGCTTTTTATATTGTTTTTATTTGTATTTGCAACCAGTAAAAGTCAAGCAGTATAGATAATTCACATTCCTATTGAATTACTTTTACGGTAAAAGTTTTACCTCTTTCACTGGTCGTTCCAAATACTCCGATGGACAAGAGTCCGGTTAAAACCAAAATTTTAATCATGATTTCACAGTCACTCTCTCACGTCTCTCTTTCCCAATCACTTATTTACCTTCACCCCGTTCGTTCTAGGTACTACACACTTTCTCCAAGATTATTCTGGCAATAAATTATGGCACCAAATGATGGCATCGATATGTAACAACAAAGACGATAACGACGACGGATAATAATAAAGCAGAATAAGGCGAACGTTTTTTTTCACTAAAAACTGTGTTTTATTGTTATTGTTGTCCTTATCAAAATTACACCTGGTTTGATTTTGGTTTTCTTACTGGCTCATCGAGCCCATGCTTTCCCTGCAATCCCGACTCACACTCTGTCTGATTCGAGATGAAACAACGTGTTTGGGTTGTAGAGGAATATTATTATACAGCAGGTGCACATTGGCTCACTACTCACCATGCACCGAGATCTGTCAAAAGGTTTGAAAGTGGAAGTTCGAGTGCCGCAGTCCGACTGAAGCCCGGAACCCGAATTCTAATTCTCCCAACCAACCAAACCACCATCAGACCTTTTTTCTTCAACAACTCCAGCTTGGAAGGAGACGATCAGCAGTAGAAGCAGAGTTGGTAGGCTTTCTATGTTGGCAGCAGTGATAGCACCAAGCACCATCCTCCTATATAGCTACTCTTCAGCCGTGCTCCAACCAATCTTCCACCAGGTCCCTCCACAAACCAGGACCATACCTAAAAGGGGGGTAGACCGAGCATCTCGTCCCCCCTTCAGCTCCAGGGCTCCCCAAGTTCATCCATTAACACCTCCACTTCGACATGAATAGCAGATGCTAAATATGAAAAATACTGCAAAAGGTAACGATGAGCAAGCAGTTACGAATTGAGAAAATGTGCATCGAAGGATGATTCATAGTACGTTGAAATGATGACGTACTTTGGTCAGTAAATACCAAAAAGTGAAGGGCAAGAAGGGACTGACGAAGATGATGGGTTCTCCCAAAAGTTGGCTGAATATGGTGGAAAGGGTTGAGGATTGAGACGAGAGAGATGTTCAAGGAATTCAAGTCGACATGCGTTGACTAGTAAGCAATATGAAGAGAATTTTAGGGTATGGTTTCAATTGGTACATTCTATATTGCATTTCCTATTGTGCATGGTTCCTCTCGTATTCTTATCTGAGCTCTCTTCACTTTCCGTAAATGGACAAGTTGAGACTTCTTTAGTAAGTCAGCGACACAACTGAGACTGTACCTCTGAGGGCATCTCTCTTCTCATAGGAAAACCACTACTTATACTGCTGAAGCTAATATGAAAAAAAAACAAATATAAAATTTTTATTAAGTATGAATTTACGAGGATCGAAAGGATGAAATGCATAATTTTTTGAGGTAGTTTACGTAATTCAGTATGACCTAAACGAGATGGTCGTTAGAAGTAGAAGATTCACTGGAAACGACGATGGCTGGTGGCGTGTTGTACAAACATAATGCTAATATAATGCTTGTTAATTTGATATGCGCTACAAACCATGGACGTAATTTCTTGGCATTTATTTGGAAAATCCAGTCACGTAAGAATATTAAGTGAATCTTAAAGTTTATTATGTAGAGGCTGCTGCAGTGGAGGATGTGTCCATTGCTGTCTCTTCGGTGTATTTTCCTTTCCCAGCAGCCAATTTCGCCGTTCGTCCCTTGGCTCTGCGATCCATAATTTCCTTTCTGTTCTTATCCATCTTCAGCTTAACAATGGTGACCTATACATACATCCACAATACATAAAGGATTCTATTTCATTGCATAGCTGACAATGATGATTACTTAGATTTAGTTATTCACCTTAGATGGATGGACAGGTACTTGAACCGTAGTCCCGTTAGCTTTCTCCCTAACAATTTTGTCAACATAAAGAGAAAATCGTTTCCTGTAGACGGCGGTGACTTTGCCGACTTGTTGTCCCTTGAAGTGTCCTCGCATAACCTGTTAAAAAATCAGCTTGGTCAGTCACATCATAATATGGCACGAGCCCGCAGTAACTATTCTTAATTCAGTGGATTTTTTTTTCAGAGCCTAATTTTTCGGCATGATTACTCATTCAAAGCCACACAACTTCTAGATTTGATCATAGAGAACCTATGGTCAAACCTGTAAGAAGTCTGCAACACATTTAGCAATTTGTCTAAGTGAATGGGTTAATGGTCATCATAAAAATAATATTCTGTTTATCTCAAACTTGAAATGGATTGCTGCTCTGGTTTTTATATTATTTTTTCGCACCTGTACTTCATCATCTTTTCTGACAGGCATGGATCTGACGTTGTACTTCAAGCGAAGTTCTTTCGAGAGGGGGGCCGACATAAGCTTCCTTCTAACATGAGATGGAGCGTTGAAGTGACGCTTACGATTCTTCCTTCTCGACACTGAAACTTGTGGGTTCCGCTTCATTTTTGAAACTAGGTGTATACCTGCATATATCGAACACATTGAATACTTAAACTTGGAAAAAAAGAGTTTCAATCTATAGTTTTACTATTAGATAAAACTTTTAAATACTCATATTTGAACATAGTTATGTGCTGTGTAGTACGTATTCATATTATGAATATATAATATACATAATAACTAGTAATAAACTGCAAACACAGTAAAACAAAACAAAATAAGACCAAGTTTAATTAAAATGTTCTGATATTAGCCAACTAATTAAGTACCAAAAACAATTAAACTTGCATCCTTATGTAACAGTTATTACAGGTCATGTTTTAAAAATTGCCGAATGACATTCAAAAATCAGACTAAACTTTCGTAATCTTCAAATTCCGACAAATCAAATCAAATTTCAGACGAGACAAATGTTGAAATGTTTCCGGCTAACATGATAGGCAAATTTCACTTGGGACCACCAACATCTAATACAAACCTTGAACTTGACTAGTTTATGCAGATGTTTTAACTCTAATTTTGGCTCTAAGCACAGTTTCAAAAATTAAGTGAATTACCTGAAAATTTGAAGAATTATGGTGTCTTGCTGGTCTCGCCGACTGGAGTTGAGCGAAGAACTGCCACGCGAGGAAGGATTCACATTTGCCCACTCAACCCACCACCACCAGTTGGGCAGGAGTTAGCCTCTCTCTCACAGCAACGCAAGCATTTTTGGCATGCAATAATAATGCGAAGGGAATTATAGTGCTCAAGTCGCACTCAATAATTGAGTCTCAATTTCATGATTCACTCATGTCATTTCAAAGCAGGCAGAAATTGGTGGAACATATTTTGTGTTTACCCAAACGGTATTCGTTTGTGGACACTTTGACGAGGTAGAAAAATGAATTACGCTTGTAATGAACGCTTTTCATGAAAATAAATATTTTCAAAGTTGAAATGTTGCTTTATATTTTGTAACTTTAGCTGATGATCACAAAGGTTAAAATATGACATATTATATGAACATATAGACAATCTAGGAAGACTATTGACCACAATTTCTACTCTCAATATGATATGTGTCTCATTAAGAAGGTTCAGTCTGTGGGGTCTCCCACTACCACTACCACTGGGGTTTCATCATCAGTACTATCATGAATCCCGTCATCAGCATCGACGTTGTCATCATCCCGGTGACGGGATGCAGGCGCGGTTCTCATCTTACTGACGACACCTTTATCAAGTTTTGAACAATATGTTTGGTTTTCCTCAACGAGACAAATTCCTCCGGGCAGTGTGGCCATTAAGCGTTGCAGCGCATCCACTGGACAAGGAATGCCTGAAAATAATAAAAGATTGATTGGGTAGTATCTTTTGATAATTAATTACGAAACGGTTCGGCTTGGACATGTTAATTCAAAATGAACGGACCCAGTTGCTCGTAAGCTCGTCGGACGTCGTGGGCAGAAGGGACTGGCAGTAATGAGCAAGGATGATCAGTGTATGGCTGGTCTTCAAAAGGTCGTCTCTTCGGCAGGAGATGAGGAGGAGGTGTTTCTAAAGGTTTGGTGATCATTTTTAGCTTATCGTCTCCGTTCTTTTCGCTAAAATACGGTTGACAATTAAGTTGGCCATAATAGCAGTTATTTAAACACCGAGCATCCAGACGCTGAGGTGGTTCTATATTTTGGTGATGATAGAAATGGTAGGACGACTCAGGATTATTCGGGCCTAAGCTCAAATACTGACCTACTGGACAATCATGGGGCAAATTATTTTCGGATGAAAATGAGACACGCAACGGTGCCATCATTGCCAGTGACATTGCAGTTGAACCATCTGAATGAGACCAAAAGCGAGATGATGATGCTGCTGCTGCTGTTGCTGCGACATTATGGTATAAATTAATAGCATGATGATCTCTGGAACTGTAACTATCATTGCTGGAGTGAGAATCATGATGATGATAAGGGTTGTTACAGCAAGAGCTATTACGAGTTGGTGTGTGGCTGCAATCAGATGAATAATTGATGCACGACGACAACGACGATGGCGAGGATAAATCTAAACTATCAGCAGCTTTATTTCCTGGTTGTGGCTGGTGGTGGCCTTGGCATTGATGATGAGACAGACCTTGACGACGACAAGCAGGTGACTGACCCGTACCACAGAAGAACATTGGATTGGCTGTGGTGTTCGTCGTCGTGTCGAATGGCATGGGCACCCCCACTTCCTCTTTGCGACTTTGCTGCCGTTGAGTGTGCAACTCGAATTGTTTCGCACCCTTCAATCGCACCAATTGGCAAACGGCACACTCGGGATCTTTGCAATGTTTCCAGTGAGCCAATATTTTCAGAGAGGACGAACAATGGATATGGGGACAGTCGGGACCAATCCGACATTTTTTTATGTGCAGCCATACTTCTTGCATCATGGAGCAGTTGGGCACATTGCATCGCTACACAAGATCAGAACATTTAGCGATTATGTAATTCTTCAATGATTAGTATTGCCTCAACATTTTAGCTAAGAAACATACTTTGGCACTATTGGCGAGATCCTTTTTTAGACAAGCGTGCGAATGAAGGAGGATAACTAGTTGTTTCTGGATAAGCTTCCTTGAATCTGTGGGGGTTTTAAGGATCAAGGGTTTAACCCGGGGAATGGTGGATGGGACATCTTGGGCCCCGTCCTTTTCTGTCGTTTTCATTCCTGCTACAAAATATCACAAGAATTTGCAAATTTGTCAATGATATGCAATAGAAATCTACATAGCTAAGTATAATAGGCAAATAGAGATATATATATTTTGGACTTGTATCAGTGAGACTGGTTGCCGGTAGCTAAAATTCCTCTTCCTGCATAAACTAATATCAGCCGAGGAAATAGGAATAGTAAAAGCAGGGTCTCAGTCATGAAATACAATCCATTTGACAGTAATAAAACAGAGCGAGCTTGAAATTGGTAATTTAATTAGAGTTGACATGTTGATTGTAAGGTTCGGAAAAAAGGGACGCGCCACTACTAAACTAATAATACTACAAGTTTGATAGCGGCAATACAATTGACAATAATAATTGAGTCTTAATTTAGTTCCGGGTAATTTATTCATTCAGGCAGTGTAACGAGTCGTCCATACACTTCTCAATGAAAATTATTAGCCAATTGACAACCACCAAAAAAGCCATGTAGCGAACCACTTTTATTGAATGAGTTGAGGATACGTATGTACTTATGAGACGGGCTAGTGAAAAATTTCGTCAATTTGACACCGCTTCTTATTACCTGCAATAATATGTAACCTCGCTCTCTTAAACTCGACACGGACGTTTCCGATGATGCTGTGAAAATTGGAATGGTTCACTGGGGACGGGATGAAGTGACGAAATGCGGGGTTCGATTGTTGGGGGAGGGCATCAAAGCTAAACTAATTTTATTTCCAATAAGCAGTTTTTCTCTCCATCATCGACGCCATTTTCGAGAAACTCTTCCTGTTTTGCAGTTAGTTCGCTTTGTTCTGGCGTCGTCGGGTTTGCAAGTTTATTGTAAACAATTTCTCTGAAAAGTCAACAAATCCACTCCAAGGAGTTTCCCCCTATTATTAGTATATGACAACGGCGTATTTATGCACGGTGTCCATTGTTGGCTTAATTATACCACGCACGCCACGAGGTACCAGCGTTGCGTTTCGTTTGCAAACAACAATTGCTTCAAGTCTTGACCCGCGTAGAAATTTGGTGGGTGCTGCACCAACCGAAGAACAAGAGTCGGCACAGGAATGCAAAACAGGAAGTCACTTTATGTTTCCGTATTTATTATTGATTGGTTTTTTGGCTCGTCCTCTCTCAAATAATTCTGGCTTCGGGGTGGTGCTGGGTCAGTTAAACCCGGATGAATCACATGCAAACTTAAGTAAACTTCTGCTATTTGCTCTGTTGTATCTGAATTTATGTGAACCAGGACTGAGGATTAGAAGGATGAGTGGTCGAGGTTCGTAATCACAGCACGTCAACAGGTGGACAACATTTTGTAAGATAAACGGCGAAAATGTGAAAACTGGGCCACTGGACCAGCAGAACTTCCCTTCCTTATATTCACTCACTTCTTGTCTCCTTCCTTCCCGGTTGGTTAGTGGAGCAACTTCCTGTCACTTTGGAAAACTCGGTCAGACCACAGACAAGAAGACACTTACAAAACAACGACAAAACCCCGGATTCAGATTCGGGAAGTTGAAGGAAGTTCAACACTCCGAACGTTGCCGACTTTTCGGGTTGCTTTGTACGTATAGATGAAGAAACGGGTTAAATGCGCTTCCTCAAATAAATTATACGCATTTGTCTGTTTATATTTTCTCCTGTATTTGGCACACTAGAAGAGGTTTTATTAGTTAATTATTCCACTAATCCCCTCCAGTTACAGGCAAGCATGCGAATTTGGCCGTCTCACTCACTCAAGCAATGAGGCTGTCTCACTCAAATGTGAGACGGGGTAAGAAAGATGAGACTTTTTGTGTGAGACAACTCTACACAGCGAAGGTTTCATGAGAATTAGACCACTTCAGTCACAAAACCAAGCAAAGTGTGTGCAAAGCGTGGTTAGAGTTTGCAGAAATATTTGCAATGTGCGACTTTGACTTGCTCTACCACAAGTTTAGCTTGGTGTTAAGGTAAAGAATATTCTTCTTGTGCTCAATTTGGGATTGAAATGCGGACTCGTCTTTTCTTTAGGCTTGTGATTGGGATTGATGCAATGCATGCACAATAACTTTTACAGCCTATTCTTACGGCATACCTATATTATTCGCACTACTGTTAAGGTAATATTGCAATTGTGCTATGCAATAACCTGATGTTGCTGCTGAATGAAGTAACGCACTACTACCACCACCATAGCTTATTCTGCCTTTGCTAGTTTAGTAGGCCAAGTTTACATACCTACCCAAAGCAATCTGACTGATGTGGTAACAACATTTTACTTGCTACATCATCATCATGGACGCGTCTGACACAACCACGGAAATTGACTCAATTTTCAGAGAGTGCACATTGCACACACAACAATTCATCCACGACTAGCAATACTCCTCCCAATCAAACCAACAACACAGTCCATAAAATCATTTAGCATTACTGATGATGAGAGAAAGAATCGCGAGATGAGACTGAGACCAGCAGATGAATGAAACAACTACGACCAGCCAAACCTGTTGAGTTCACTTGGTCAGTCGGGCAAATCTAGTTAGTATAATAGATAAGCCCACTATTAATTTTTCCCCTCATAATAATGTAATTCTTCGTATTTTACTTCTCCTAAGCTAGAAAAATGTGATTTACTCAAAACTTATAGCCGGTATAGCATAGGTTAAACAGGATGGCGTGCGATTAAAAGATGACATTCATGTGACATAGTCATCTGCAATACAGAATTATAAAATTCAGTAATAATTCATAATCTCATGAAATTGATCAACTGTTAATCTCAAGTAACTTTAGAAAAGTGGCTAAATACTTGGAATCATCGGTTATTGTAAATAAAGTTAGCAGAGTTGAGCAGTGTGCCATGAAAAAGCAGAGAGAGAGCCTACGTAAAATTACTCCACCGCAAGCTTTCTAGTTACATAATTGCGAAAAGGTTGCAGGCAGCTAGCGTCTTTCGTCTAGAATGGTATGCATGCAATTTGGAATTGCACCATCGTTCGCTTCCCGTCTGGTAAAATTAGCCAATGAAATTTAATGTCCTCTCTGATGAGGTGCATGCATACTCCAGCTCAGTTTGGGTTTAGCAATTACAACCATAATTCACTTTGTCATGCCGTCCACACTTTTATAAATATATCAGTTAAATATTGGCGAAATGCAAAAACTACTCCTTTTTGTACCAGTCTCTCTCAGTCTGTTTTCCTCATTGCCTCAACCTCATGTTACTCTCTATTTATCTAGCGACTACTAGCGAGTCGCTTTTTGTGCCAATTAGTTTTCCAGCAGGTATCATTAAGCGAACTTTAAACTCGGCAAGTTATTAATCTGCATATTCATAAAGCGAATGTGTGCATACTTTTGGTTGTAATTAAATTAATACGATAAAACATAAAACTAATGTGAGCGAAGGTGTGTGAAGTGAAATTTATGCATAAAGTGGTGTAATTATTAAACCTTAATTCTAAATTAAGCTGATGAGTGTAGTAAAACGATGGTCTAATACGCGGAAGACGATAGCGTACGATTCGTGCAGTCAACATATTTGCAAATCTCACTACAAACAAAGCACATGTACTCAATTGCTCTCTGTTTGGTTTGCGTATAAATAAAGACACGCGAATGCGATTCATTTCAACCCTGCAATGCATAAGCAAATAAAGCAATGAAATTCAGACAGGGAGCAAAAACGTAGAGCAATTTGCGGTTTTTTAACTGATACAGCAATATGTATGACTGGATTAATATTATAAATCGTGACCAAACATCACAAGAATGATATCAAAAGATTTCAGAATATGCAGTTACAATTTTATACAAATAATCGAGTATGGTAATGTAATACCGGCATACGAACCATGCTGTCTGCTGGAGGTTTAGTAATACATATGTATGTATTGGGTAAAACTTATTAAAAATACGATTTGTGTTACAAAAGCATAAAATTACTTAAAATCATATAATTCATATAATCAAATACAAAACTGGTCCTTATGAAATACATTATAAACAATAAACTTCTCGACAGTTGAGAGTGAGAATGTCGAAATAGTGCAAACTCCCATCTACAAATGGATAAGTAAGTAGTGAGCAAATCGAAATGGTGAATCATGATCGTCGTCGTTGTTTGATGGAGTGGATTTGGGCTTGGTAGACTGGTCTGCAGATTTGGCAGGAGGACTTCTTCATGCAAATCTTCCAGTGGCGGATGATCTCCCTGTTGTGGTGACAATGGGTCAGGGTGCAGGTGTCAGGTTCGAAACAACACCGAATGTGGTCCAGGCATTTCTTCGTTTCCTCGCAAAATGGGAGCTTGCACTGGAAAAAATAGATTAAAGATTTGTTACAATTTGCTCCATCTCGAGTTTATCTCTTTCGATTTTTATATGTACATGTGGACAAAAGTAAAGCAATAAAATGCAGGTAGTATTTGTGACGAAAAGTACCTTTTCCTTTGGCTGCTCTTGGCCGTGCACTTCGTAGTCGTGAGAATACGAATTCTCCTGCTTCTGACATGCGTGAGCATGCAAAATAAGGACGAGCTGTTGTTGCACAATTTTCTGTGTGATCTCGAACCCGATTTCAGGAACTTCCAAAATAGTTTCCATCATTTTGAAACAGATGTTTTATAGAAAGAAACACTTGACGGAGTAAAACGTGGGTGTGATGATAGTACGAGTGAAGAGGAATTAGTTAGCAAAATTGCTTCTTATAAAATGGAGGAAGATTTCAGCGGAAATTCAAGGATTTCAACGGAGAGTGAGAGCGAGAGAGAAACTTGAAGTGGTCAAAGTGACCTCAACCAAATCTGCTTTTATACGGGCCTGAGTTTTGTTTCCAGTTCCCAGGCAGTAAATATTTAATATGCAAGATGAGGTGATGGTCCGATGATGATGCAATTCTCCATAATTTATCAACCACCACTATATTTATAACATGCAGCCATACATTTTACATGCATGCAGTGTTAGTTAGAGTGGTTAGTGCCCTAGCTGTTCTTACATACATTTTTTATTTAGCTAACTACCACATACAGGATTTAGAGGGGAACCACGCTCCTTGACGCTGACTGGGGAATGCCATTCCCATGTCAAATTGCAGAGTGGACGTTGAACATGCCATAATTCTTAAAATATGATGTCCACTGTCCACCACCCCTGAGACACTCGACCATCGCCTGATCATCTCACCCTGATTGCTCTTTGTCAATTCCATGAACTTTGTGAAATTTATTAACAAGTCGGCGCTTTGCATGGAATCATCATTGTCCCAGCAGATAACTTTGCCAGGGAAAAGAGTGATGTGTAAGTATAGCCTCTCACAACTTGTCCCATTTCGTCGCAACTTGTCCTACGTATCTCACGGGAAAGGTGTCATGATTGATTGTTTAAGAAAACGTGCGTCATTTACATCTTTACAAGAACACTCTTTTAATAACAATCACTGGTCGTAAAAAAATAAATATAATGCAACAACGTTAACAGCAATTGCTCCATCAAGTCAATTTATTAGTATCAGATGCATTCATGGTAAAATCATCACAAGCTTACGCACACACAGCGCTCATAAGTCAGAATTATTCTTATGGGCAAAACATAAGGAAAATTTGCTTTCAGACTTTACACTTTAATTCATAGCTGAGGAAAGGAATTATTGCTTTTACGCAGGCAGAAGCATCAATAATATTACTCCTGCAGCAGACAGAAACGCAATTATCTGGCATTAACTGGATTAAGACTGCCCTTTGTCTCACGGAATTACTCTGAGTTCCATTAATGAAATGGGGTTTCTGTACCATAATAAAACCTTTGGACTGTTTATTGCAATCTTATGTCGTGGGAGGTCGAAGTTAAATCGACTTATTATGGAATTATTAAATCTTGATGGACAACCTTGTAAACATCACACACACATATATTCCTAGATCTGATATGTATAATAACTTTTCCCTGCCATGCATTTTAGCAACCTATGTACGCAGTTTGTCTGCAACTCTATTTATATATCCCGTTCTACTCGTAGCACTTATTTTCAAAATATACAACACGTCATTTTGCCGTCAATTCGTTAAATCAATTATGAAAAATTGTAATTTATTACACGAGGTTTCACCTTTTCGCACCATGTAGAAACTATACACATCAAGAAATAGAATGATTTTAATGTAATTAGTTGTATTTTGAATAATGAGTAATAACATTCATGTAACATTTGAGACAACTTTTGCATGCATTTCTCGCGTCTTCTTCGACTGAGGTTGATACTGGAGGACTAAAGGCTGCACCAGCTGCCTCACTATAACCATCACCATAACCGCCGAGGTTTGACTGTGTAAAAGGTCACAAGTAAGTAATTGGAGATTCGTCACTTCACTCACACAGTGTAAAATAAAATCTGTATTGTTTTGTAATCTCACTCGCTCGCTAATGTTCCAAATTTCAGATATTTTAATAACAATCAATTAATGAGGGCTTTCTTATCAAGTTATTCGTTCGGATGCCAATTTATGAGAAAGTTGGTCGTTTTAACTTAGAGTTTATTGGAGAAGGGCAAGTTTTTTTTGAAGGTGGGGTCCATCAAAGGAAGGGAAAGCAAATTTTAGTTAAGTTTATCGTCCAGTCCTCCGTCACTTAATGATCAAGATGGAGAAAATGGAAATGCCCTCAATGATGAACTCGGTGTGTCCGATGACTCCGATGGGGGTGAAGGGTCGTCGAAGTGGTGGTGGTGGAGGAGGAGGAGGTGGTGGTGGAACACCTGATCTCGCATCATTCTTTGAGTGCCCAGTTTGCTTTGATTATGTAAGTATCATATAGACAAGTATACTGGGTTAAAGGGTTACGAAGGCAGACGTGTTTTGACTAATAGTAATATATAAATATTCGTTATCTTCATCCAGGTACTGCCCCCAATATTTCAGTGCTCAGCTGGTCATCTTGTGTGCTCTGCGTGTAGACCCAAATTAACTTGTTGTCCGACGTGCCGTGGTCCTCTGGGTAACTTGCATCAGATTTTGTTTAATTGGATAGGTTTAGTTTTTATTTAACTTCCATTCTTTCTACTAATTTGCAGCTGATATCAGAAATCTAGCGATGGAGAAAGTCGCAGGCACAGTCCTCTTTCCATGTAAGTACTCATCCAATGGATGTGGATCTTTACTGCTGCACACCGAGAAACCTGATCACGAAGATGCGTGTGAACATCGTCCCTATTTTTGCCCATGTAAGGAAATATGCTCGTAGATACATATTGAGTCATATTGATGATCATTAACTAATTATCTCTTAGGCTTATTATTTTACAATCTATACTAAAAGGCTTGATTCCATAAACTACGCTATAAATTATTATAAATATTTTTATCTTGCATCTTTATCATCCTCGCCAATCCTCACTATTTTATTATGTTCTAAATGAAAATATTATTTAAGGTCCCGGAACCAATTGCAAATGGCAAGGAACATTAGAACAAGTTATGCCACATCTTCTCATCCAACACAAGTCAATTACAACCCTTCAAGGTGATCTTATTTGATTTTTTTTAAAGAATTGACTTTGCGAATAACACAAGATTGTGTACAATAATTACAATGTACATTTTTATCATGATAGGTGAAGACATCGTATTCTTAGCTACAGGTAAGTTCGTATGTATATTGTATACACAGCATAAGATATTTTAGGTTGCATAATATTTATTATTAACATGTCAATTCACTTCTTTTTGACTACAGACATCAATTTACCTGGGGCTGTTGACTGGGTTATGATGCAATCCTGTTTTGGCTGCAACTTTATGTTAGTCCTAGAAAAGCAAGAAAAAAATGGCGGAGAACAATTTTTCGCAATTGTCCAACTCATTGGATCTCGAAAGCAAACTGAGAAGTTTGCGTATAGGCAAGTTCACACATCAGTGTAAATTCTTGGTGTCACTTGGCTTAACCATTCAATAATACAAAAGTATTACAAAATCTGTTTCAGGCTGGAACTTAATGGACACAGACGCCGACTGATTTGGGAAGCGACGCCCCATACGATTGTTAGTATCCTACTTAGTTGATTAATTAAATATAAATCTGTGGTGATGAGGAGTTTTATGTTTATTTTTATTTCTTGCAGCACGATGGAGTTTCATCAGCCATTCTCAATTCTGATTGCTTATTCTTTGACACTAACACTGCAAAGTTATTCTCAGAGAACGGTAATCTTGGAATTAATGTGACCATCTCAATGGTTTGTGGAAAGTAAATGTATAATAATGATCCCGATAGATTATATTATACACTACTAAAATTAATTAATTAGCAAATTCCGTTGGATGCTAGTTTAAAATATCGCTATAGTCATTTGCAATTTGCATGCAATTGTTTCTTATTATGTATTTAAAAGCTAATTTGAAAAGACTATGTATTACACTACGTATATTATTTATAATAATTCATTTCGCAAATCATTTTGTATCTCTACCATTCTCGTTTTTTGGTAGATAAATAATAATTCGTTCGTTTGTCTTCTCGGTCTTTGTCTCATCATATTTTCACATTGACGTCGTGTACTATTATGTTGGTACCCATTCCAGATGAAAGAAAAAATGATCATTTTTAAATAAATATCATGTAATCTCTCTTGTGCAAGTTTTGACTTTGATTCAATCATCAATTCAATTAAAGAAATGTTCAAACATATGTGAAACATTAAATAAAAGTATTATTTTCAATCTATAATAACTAACTAGTAACAATTAATTGTTGTGTTGTGTTATCTTAATTTATAGTTGTCTATTTACAACTTGCATCATAATTAAGTCTTAATTAAATACATGTACGATTATTATTTTTTACAGTAAGAACTGCGTAACTTATTAACCTCTAAAAGGGTCGATTATTATAGGAAGACCAAGAAGATGACGACGAATTGCGTGTAAAAGAAGACTTTCTTTCATATCGTGAACCAGGTGTGCTTCCCTGGTCCCCACTCCCACCACCCGCTGCATTATTCCCCTGTGGGCGACCACCAGAAGAGCTGTTTGAAGAATACGAGGCCGTATTACCACCGCCCCGACCCCCACTCGACGTAGAGTAGTGAACAGGAATGCTTTGTCGCCCTCCATACGAACTGTTACTGTGGTCAAACGAAGAGTGAGATGCTGAAACTGGAGAAATCCGAGTACCACTACTTCCATGGTCTTGATTTCCTCCCGAATTTCTAGGTTTGTGTCGATGATCAACATGAGCTTGAAGATCCCTAGAATAAAGTCAGATTTACGTTTAGTCTGACGGTGATGTGAATAAATGCATGAATACAATAAAGGGTAATCTAACCTTTGAGAGAGATACGTTCTTCGACATCCTTCAAAGCCATACCGACCTCCACCATGATGACACATAAAAACTTGACCAAGATGTGCTTGTTCAATTCGGGTTACACGGTCAGAACAACAGGAACAGTAGCTCTGCTTGGTAGCACACGCGTGACAGTAAACATGTTTGCAGGGTATCTACAAATTCAGGGAAATTCGGTTCGGAAAAAGGGAAAAAATAAAATTCTCTTTTGAGGTTCACTTTTATATTTAAAAAAAATATTACCAAACGCCCGTAAATTCTGATTGGAAGTTTACAGTCAACACACATGTGAATATTTGGCGTAGGAAGTTTATCTCCCATCGGAGTATACTTGTGTTCCCAGCTCAGTTCTAGCATTGGTTGTGGGGGTCCTTTCGACACGGTGGAAAATGTGGGTGGAACCAACTGGGAAATATCGTCGTCCAAGGTGAACTCTACTTTTTCCTTGTGCTCTTCATTTTTGACCACCGTTATTGCCGTCTCCTCAGTTTCTGGCATGCAGTTTTCACGCTCATCAATAACCATTTCGTCCTCTACAAGCAAATTACACTTACTTTTAGTTTTTAAATATAGTTTCTAAATTTGTAAGGTTTTTCAGCATACCATGATCATCGTCATCAAGTTCAACTTGGTTATCTACAATCTCACTAGTTTCGATTTCTTCCTCATCACTCTCGATAATCTAATCAGAGAAAATATAGGGTCAAGATTATTTGATGCTTTATCAATCTATCTGGAGACTAACGTTACCGATACAAAGTCAAGCAATTGTAGTATATGGTCAATTAAAAAATTTCCAATGCCACCCAGAATAAATATAAAATTGGCGACTTTCTAACGTTGCCTATGATACAACGATGATAATGTTGTAGAATTTGTACCATTTCGAATCAATTTTTCATGTTTAGAGAAATGAGTTTTATTTTCGTTCCTCCTTATCACAATAATTTTTTATTGACAAGTGAAACTGAACCGTTTTGACTCTTTGGCCTCACCAAGATGGTGAAAACGTGTTGGGAGACTGCTGTAAGCACAATTTTGTGACAATAATCTCTTTAAAATTTATGGTCTTAAGTAATAAGGGGCCGTCCATAAATTACGTAACGCAGAAATCGCGATTTTCTAACCCCCCCTCCCCCTTAACATGTGAACGATGTCATTATTGTCATTGAAGCCTTAGACTATCCCCTCTTGAGTTACGTAATTTAAGGACGGCTCCTAATTAAAAATGTAATTAACTAAATGCTAAAATGTTTCAACTAGTTAAATAACTATTCAAATATTTGAATATAGAACCATGAATCCAATTTTCTGCTAATCGCCGGTGCCGTCATGTTCGTAATGTCCAGCTTGATCAACCTTGTTCCTTTCATACCAATTCTCGTCAAACTTTTGGTCTCTATCGGATCTGTGTACATTGCTGACGTGTTTTGGGATCCTCCACTAAGGGAGCCACCAACAGCAGAAAATTTCGAGAGACTGCGACCTAGCAAACTTTTGGTATGTACAAAACGACTTAGACTTAAGTGACAAAGTCAATCGTGCTCCATTCGTTTGGTAATTGGAAAAATGGTTATTATTGTGTATAGATAAAGGCCCTCATTGATCTTGTCTACTTTGGTAACGCTGTCGTCATCTTTACCTTCGTAGGACCAATTCTGGCCAAGACCGTGTCACTCTATGACACATACGAATTATGGTACGGGAAACTGGTCAGTGGAAATGCAGGCGTGGTGTACTCGGCATATTATTTCTCCTTCTGGATTCTCCTGATGTCATTTATCTCATCCATTCGATTCTTCTATCACTTGTTCCAATCAGCAGCAGTTTCTCTGTACAACATCATGTACTAGTGACAACGCATACGCGAACTCGTCAAACAAAATTCCTAATCATCTCTCATTCCTGCAACTCATGCCTAACTGGCCCTATTATCGCCAAATATCATTTTACAATGAACTTGTTTAAAAACGCAATAAAAACGATTGTAGCACAACAATTAAATCGTGACTTTGCAAAATTTACCATTTTCCTTGGCCGTCCACGTCCGCGACCTGTTCCACGTCCTGCCGCGCGGCTTCCTCTGGCCGCCCGACTTGGACGTCCACGCTTTCCTCTCCCCCTCCCTGTTTTCTTATCTCCATCCATCTCTTTCCGGTCGAAACCTTAAAAAATAGGTAGATTAACAATTCTCACACCACATCAAAGCTTACTCTTATTTTGTTACATGTCACATGTAAAAAATCTTTTTTACTAAACTAAATACCTTGAATTGATGAAGTTTATTTGGTTGTGCGTGCAATAGATATATTTTTAATTGAAGGAAAGTTTTAAAGTGACATTTTTCATCATAAATAGTGACAAATAAACAACTGGGCTGAGAGTGCATAGCCAAATTTTGCCACACTGTGAGGGGAAACCAGATATTATATGCTAACGCAGACTTATTTACGAGTGAGAATGAGAATTTCTTTTCAAACTTCAAAGCCGTAAGATATAAAACAAACAATACAAAATATTTATTTGGTTTTATTTCCGTTATTCAATTTGTAACATATTAAAAATATTTCGAGCAAAATCCACCGTTCTAGCACGATGCTCTTTTTGTTCTGTTGGTTCCACAAGGTGACCCAGTTGGTGTCACCAAATGACCCCATCTTTCATGACCAAATTGTTCTAAATTTCGCAAGGGTTCTCCTATATACTTGATGACGGAATTATTGGATTATTAGATGAGGAATTTATGGATCGTCTCCGTCTCTTCACGTTTTGTTCATGAGAAGGGTCATGAATTATTTTATGAAGACGAAGTTGCGTAAAGGTATAAAACTTTTTGCCACAGCTGCAAAGATGAGCTGGTTTTCCATGTGCTATTTTCATATGTTTCTTTACTTTGCTGGCATCGGTGAAAGATTCACTGCATTGATATTGATCACATTTGTAAGGCGTTTCACCAGTATGAAGCTATAAAAAGAAAGATGCATAATAACAAGTTGTATGTGTTACATTTGAGCAGAATTAAAGTTAAATATTGTTGCCTTATTTAGTTCTGATCATTCTTACTCGTTTATGCCTAATCAGATCGGATGATCGCGTCAGACCTTTTCCGCATACGTGGCAAATGTACGGTTTAAATGCTAGAATTATATGTGAACAAACAATTTCTACTGTTAGTGCATAACCCATTTGAACGTCACGTAATTAAAATAATTTTTGCATATTGACGAACTTGTATGAGATAGCATGTGCCTGTCGTATGAGCTTTTGTCAGCATGGCCCATTTTGCAGTTGGTACATGTAAATTTGAAAATTTGTTGATGAACAATTTGGATATGTTTTTTTAGACGCATGCTCGAAGTGAATGTCTTTCCACATTGGTCGCAAATATGGGTCGGTGTTTTAGGAAGCAGTTCGTAAACTTGGTGATCCACACGACGATGATTGAAGAGTTGAATTTTGTTGAGGAATGCTTTTGAACAAATATCGCATTTCGGACTTTCCCTACAAATTGGTTTACCACCTTTTTTCAAGTTTTGTCTGGCCCTTTTACGCGGACGATTATCCGATTGTACTTCAAAAAATTGATCAGAGGACGAGATATCGACTTTTTCGTGAATTGCTGATTCCTCAGATTCAATTGATTTGACGCCTCTTACTTTCTTCTGCTTACACTTATTGTGATGATGAACTATGTTTCGTAGTTCATGTCGAACCTTTTGTGTCTTGCTGACACGCTTTTCTGACCCTCGCGAATTTTTTTCACAATTCGTCCCACAACTAACTGTGATACTACCAGTTAAGAGCTTGTTAATCACTCGTTTCCGGATGCATTTCAGTTTTGTCAGAGAACGCTTGATGATAATGGCGACGCATTGAGCATCTCGAACTAGCGTGGAACACTGAGGGCAAAATGTGCCCCATTCGGAAGGATTCCCATGTGAGGAGACCAACCTGGTGCAGTCCGCAGAGGAAACTTGTAGCAAGTTTCGAATTACGAAAACTGTATTGAGTTGAGAATCCACTAATGACGATCCACCCATTTCCTCTCCAATTTCCCCAGCCATCGCCAAGTTGTTGGACGATGGACAATGCGTCCTTGTGCATAGTAGGCACCTCGCACTTAATTCCTCAGAAGACTGTACCTCCATCCTATGTATTTTTCCAAATTTTGTAACTAATATCAAATTACCTCAAAATTCAACTTTGTCACGCTGAAGAGTTTTCAGTGAAGAGCATGTAAAACCTACGTGAAAGTGTGAAAACTGCACAAACTTTTCTTACTTTTTGAATTTATCTCTTTCTGCTTCATCATATGGAGCAAGACGAGCTTGCATTTACATAATACTATGTACTTACATGAAAGGAGATGTACTATGTACTTACATATCGCAAAACTAGTGCATTTCACCGACATGAGTCTTGAATGTCGAGACCATGCTTTCAACAGATACATGATGCTTGAACAAGCATTTCAAGATGCTTGAACTTTTATAATAAACGACGATAAGAGGATTGATAAAATAATGACGATAATGCCGATGCAAAGGATAATGATTAAAAGTAATGTAATACACGTTTGGTTTAAGTTATAATTCCCATGTATTTCCGGTATACATTCAAAATATTTGCCTTCACGTATAACATAATTTCAAATTTTGTTCTAGGTACATACATCATGTACTCTTATGGCGCAATGTTATTGGCATCTGCCCATTTAGTCAACAGGTCGTCCGCTCTCGCCAAAGTCTCTTCCTTCTTATAGAAACAAAATCGGATCAGGTATTCGCATTCGCGTTTATGGGGCTCGCTGTAAAAAGCGGAGGGAGGAATTCCGAGAACTTTCCACTTTTTTGCGTACCACTTTGCAAACCGATAATCTAGATATTCGTCCTTTTCAGACGATAGGTCAACCTTGGACTCTACAAGTTGTAGAACAATAAACATCATCATCTTACTATTATCTCTACCACTTTATGTAAATACTGTCTATTAAAAGGATCTCAATTGTACCCAATGGTTTCCAATTGGCACAGAGAAATGCTCCAGCTTCCGGCATGATGGGGACAAATCCTGCTCGAACGACCGACTTTGCAAAAATGTCACATCTCATCTTTAAATCTGCACCCAACTGGTAGAAAAACGAATCTTTTGTCCCCAGAAGAGGAATCTCTTTTTCAACAGCAATGGCTAGAGCTTCTTGACAAGGTGTGTTACACGTGTAGACGCAGCTCTACATAAAAATGAGCATATATTCATATAAACCATGTACATGTATATAACTTGCGTCAATTTATCAAATGCACTCTACAATTATTTCGCACCTGATGGGCAACAAATAGATTTTTCATCAAATTAGCTGGACCATAGGACCAACCAGTCTTCCATCCAGTGAGACTTTAAATACATGACGAAATTAATGCTTAATTGTTTTATTATCACATTGTATATGGCAGGAAGAGTGGATTAAATACCTGAACGCCTTACCAGACGACCCCACAGTAATTGTACGTTCCCACCTTCGAAAATACATGTGCGTATTATTTTAGTCACATTTAGTTTATTTTGTCTGACTTTAATTTTTAGTAATTATTCTAGTTTGTTAAAAAATTGCTCACATCCCAGGGAGAGATGCCATCCGGACATGTTCATATTCAGGAAATACATTCATCTCATACACTTCGTCTGCTATGCAAACGACGTTGTGCTTTTTGCATAAATCGCCAATTTCCTTAATAATAAGACAAGTCAGATTTTAAACGTAGACTTAGAAAGATTCAGAAAAATTTATAGAAATTGATCATTCATTATTGGCTCACCGTCAATTCCTTCCTATTGTACACTTTGCCCAGCGGATTGTTTGGCGTGTTGACCACAATAATCTTTGTGTTCTGATTGAATAATGCTTCCAGTTCCTTCATATCCAGAGTCCAAGCACCAGAAGTTGTATCATTTGGTTTTGTTGGTTTCAAGGAAATGTGTACAGGCTTCCCACCCGCAAGCAGAACTATTGGGCGATAACAATCATAATGCGGTTCTATGAGAATCACCTCATCCCCAGGGCCGATCATCGACATGAATGTGGCAAAGAGGGACCTAATCAGTACAAAATTTAGGAAAGTTGACAAAGACGTTGGTTTGGTATTGTTTATAGATTTGACCTACCCGTAAGCCCCAACTGTGACCAAGACTTCCGTCATGGGATTTATCTCTCGGTTAATTAATTTGCCATACATTTTGGCCAAGGCGTCAACCAATCGTTTGTGACCCTGTGTAGTCATTTTCTTATGGAGTTGTAAACGTAGGTCAAATGACGATAAAATGAAAATCCTTACATAGGATCTGGTGTACTGGTGTAAGAGAGGGTCCCCAGAGTTGGAACAAATTTTCGCCAGTGCTGCGGTTACATGCTCTGCCGGGTGAAAGTCTGGGAAGCCTTGTCCTAGATTTAGCACATCTTTATGCTCCGCGACAAATGCTACAAACTCCACCCTAATTTTACAGGCATGTGTTACAGAGTCCTTGTATTGTTATTCTGATTACATTTTTAAAGATGTTGTAGAAAATAGCTCACCAAACATTCTTTTCTAATCCCTTATACTTCTTGTGAAGTCCAAATTTGGCATCGATGCTTGATGACATATTTTTTTAACAATTACGGTGCTCTAAATTTATTAAATAATATTTATTTTGCTGAAGAAGTATTCACAGAATGATTAACTCCCGTATGAAAATACAAGTTGATCCGGCTGACTGACTGACCATGCATGCACATATTAAATATACATATGTAGCATCACATGTTATCACGTTTTAAACCAGTGCTATCAATCAACGAGATATAATAATGGAATGCATGCATGTATGTACATATGTATGACATAACAATGATTATAACGTCTTTGCGTACCGTGTGTAGCATACTTAGCATATACTGCATATGTATGTAAATAGGTACAATGTCATATCAGTTCTTTCCAGTTTTTCCTTATTGAATTGCATGCTCTGCTGGGTTTATCCAGCCCATTGTCACAAATTGCACATTGATCCGAGTAATTTTAGTTTCATATGCATGCATATACATATTAAGGGTCGAAACTTCGCATTTATCGTCCACTTGAAGGAGAATGAGTGACAATTGAGGTTAATATCGGAAAAACTATTACGAAACAGAACACACAGGATTTATTTATGTATCACATTTTTCACATTACGGAGTAATATCTGCAGCCTATATTTACATACATTTACATACCTTAGTTATGGCTCCATTTTTTATTTAGGTATATATGTACAATTCATTAATCAATTACTCACGTGCATTATGAGATCGTATGTACATAAATTGCATGAACTACTTATCTTCATCGTCGATAAAATTATTATTACTAATTCCCTCTTCTTCTGCCAGAGGATCTACAGGGATGGTTGTGGTTGCCGATTTGATAGCGTCATCCTGCAGCTCCTTTAGCGCCATGTGATGACCTACGTGAAATAAAAAAATTCCTCACAAAGTGAACCAGTTTTGATACGCCGTCCAACTTTACTGAGCTGTCATGCATAATTATATTACTTTGAAGTTCAATGTCCAATTCTACTTCGTTCCGACAAAATATTGCTTTGACTTGGTTCTTGAGCATGACCACTTCCCAAACGGTGCGAATGGAGGGTTTCACGTTCCATAAAAATACGACTTGGTTCTTATCTTTGAAGAGTTTAAGAATGTCCGTTATCCCCTTAAAATTAATACTGGTTAAACCTTGACATTATTTCACCTTATTAAAGATTTGTTTGAGAAATTAAATTCGAATACCTGAGCAGCAGAGTAGTCCGCAAATGTAACAAACTGGCAATCAATAACGATCGGAAGTTCATTTCGACCCCATTTTGTGGCAGCCTTCATAACTGTGTAGCGAGTGTACTCCATGGAAGGGAAGGTCATGGACCTGTCAACTTCGACCCACAAGAATTCGTTCCCTGCGCCCGTCTCACCCTTGCTCACCTTGATTCCTGGTCGGGATGCGTAGTACAGGAGAAAGATCAGACTGGCCACAAAACCCGACATGATTCCATATTCCAAACCAATAAATAAACTGGCCAGAAAGGTAACGGTCCAGGGTATCAGGTCCAATCCTATAAATTAAAATTAGCTCATATGAAACAGCTTCAAAGTTTGGGGTGCATATGCATACAGTGTTTACTCACGCTTGCTTTTCCAAATTGAGGTTAGAATTTCAAAGTCCACCATGAAAATGACAGCCATGATGACCACGGATGAGAGGGTTGACTTTGGAATGTAGTAGAATTGCGGTGTGAGAACGACCAAGGCCAGAATGATGATGGCTCCAGTGATGAGTCCGCCCAGAGGTGAAACCGCTCCGGACGCATAGTTCAACGCCGTCCGACCGAATGCTCCCGTGACTGGCATACTGCTGAAGAAAGAACCGATAATATTCGCTACTCCGAGACAGAGCAGCTCTTGACCTGCGTCGATACGTGCCGTCCCAGAAAAGGCCCTGGTGATCGTTATATGCTCCATAAAGGCAAGGAGAGGGATGACAATGAGAGCCGAGGTTTTTTCTCGAAGGGCGCTTCCTAGAGAAAATTCTACGGTGGAGTTCCCGTTGGTCTCAGAGTATGAGAAAGGTGGAGGCTTGAACGGGGGCATTCCGCTCGGAACATCGCCAACAAGGAGGACAGGGGAGGGTTCTCCGATTAATGAAAATATCACGGTAGCCACGATTACAACCGTCACACTTCTCGATGTGGACAGGAGCCATAAAACTTTTTTCACCCTGGGTCCAAATTTTCCGAACCGGGCAAAAATTGCTTCAATTTTCTGAAGTACGAGACCAAACAATCATAATATTCAACATTATTATTTGCTCTACATTAATACTATGCATTGGGAAAAATTATGTAAAGGGTTCAACCTTCTTACAATGAGAAAGTAGAGAGATGACAGAGAAATCACTCCGACGACAACGTCCTGCCAATTTGTGTCGGAAATATTTTCAATAACGCCTCGCACTTCTTCCACAAATCCGTTCGCACTAAAAGATAACCCCAATATCGATTTGACCTGGGTGGACGTTATTGAAATTGCTGCTGCGGATGTGAAGCCTGATATGACTGGCGATACAAAATGAGCCAAATTTTTAATGACGATAACAACTTGAAAATTAACTCTACCGGTATTATCACTGTAATTTTTCAGATAAGCAAATTTCGTTTTTTCAAATGGCTTGGTTTGTACCTGGCTTTGAAATGAAGTTGACGATGAAACCTAGTTTTTAATTTAAAAAAAGTCAGACAATGAAATAAACTCTATATAGTAAACATGCATTAAAGCGTATTTATGTGTATAGTAGAGTCCTCAATAAAAATGTAACTGGTGCACTATGTAATAGTAAACCCTGTTAAATATACCCAGTTGGAGAAAGCTCATCAGTAACGTCGTGACACCGGTGAGGAAGCAGAGCAAGACCGAAAATTGTGGAGGTTGTCCTTTCGTATAACTAGACACCAAGTTAATATTAATCTTTTCTTTGTTTATTGCTCCATATTTAATGACTCACGATAAAGTGATGATTGCCGTTGTAACTGTTGGGCCAACCTATGAATACCAACTTGTTGAAGTTATGTGATATTTTAGACTGTCTTATGTATGTATAAGATTCGTTTATGCAGAAACAAAAACATGAAATTCTCACCGTGATATATTTAGTAGAGCCTAAAAATATGTAGACAAAGCACCCCACAAATGAAGAGTAGAGCCCGTACTAAATATTTAAAATCACATTAAATTCTAAATCTGGCATGGTGGACTTAGTTGGTATGCAGTAAGTGTCTCACTTCCGGAGGCATTTCTGCCACGTTGGCCACTCCCAAGACTTGCGGTATCGTCGTGAGTCCAAGTGTCAGGCCTGCAATGAAGTCTGCAACCAACATTGAGAGCTTGTACTCTCGAACCCAGGTCAAGATTGGCAACTTCCTCACAAAGTTCTTATTTTGAAAGGAACGCTGGACCAAACTGGACACGACTTGTGAGATTCGAAGGTCCTTCTTGTGAGGTGCCGTGGATGCATTTGATGGATCGTCCTGGTCTTCAACCACGTTTGTGAAGCTGAAAGTATGGAGATGCTTCTTCTTCATGTCTTTCACAAAAATTGGTCCAGTGTTTTGCTCTATGAATATATTTCGACGTGGTGATCGCAGCAGGAGGGGAACTCTCCGACTGAATTGCACATCCGTATATTTACCAGGTAGTTAGTCGAGCTTGATGATAAGCAATGATAAGAATCAGATAATCTTGACGTTATGATCCTGATAGTTATCTACCAACAAGTCTTTCGAGCTGTTAACAAAGTTCAGTATTGATATCAAAATTCAGGTACTATGTTTAAATGCGGGTATTAATAACGGATTATCTGTGCAATGAAATGAATTGCAATGCAATAAAATGCAGGAATTTATAAACATTCACGATTTGTTGAACTTAATTCGAAATATTAACAAAGTTCTCAAATTATTTCAAAGAGGATCTGCTTGCTAAACAAGAAACCTTTATATGTACGTCAAATTAAGCTATATGATATCAAATTCATGGAAATTGGGGAGTAGTAAATATGGGTTATATAACAAAATTGAAATTCATCTTGAGTCTATGTAAGCTAAGCACTAATGAGTATTAGGAGATATAAGGAGCAACATAAAATGAACACAATTGACGTCGGCCTTTATCCAGCCGATGACATTTTGCTTGCGTGCATTTTGTCCATGTCTAAAGAATTGTGCAATGCGATGAACATACATAAACTATAGATTAATATTGGTATTTCAGGGAATTTTATGTACTATTTGATTCCTTAATACCATGCAATGAATATTTGCATTGTTGTGTGGATTGTTGATATGTATGCAAAAAAAAACTGGATAATGAAATTAGAGTTATCTGTAAAATTTTTATAATCCCAAATCACGCAATTGCAATCATGCTGCAATTAAAACAACAATTTAGAAATGCGGGATTCCTCGCATTATTTACTTCATTTGAAATTATTCTTTATTAATTATGCACATTTGGCAATATGAGACATAAAATTTCAAACAGCAGGATGGGTCGCTAATTAAAACGTCAGACATGACTCAACTATTAACGATAGTAGGTCTCCCTGTCGACACAACCATACCCTTACCCCAAGGGTAAGCATCGCACTTAATGAGCAAATATTTTCAATATTAGCATATTTTAATAGGTATTACATACAGTTCTGCATGAAACAGATTTATAATAACCTATCAGTACAGCTTTGCTTAGCCCGAACCAGGGATTGTAAACCCATATTTATTAGTAGTTTTCTATAAAATTATGTGCTACTATTTTGCACTAATTCTTACATCAATCCTTCGTATGACTAGGTTCCAAATTTAAAAAATATTTACCATCCCTTCCCTTTGACTACTTCCCAGTGGAGGTCGTCTCTATACCCCTTCTGATTAATTTTTGTTCATATTTAACTTCATATTATTTCATGAAAAAGCAGTAAGAATTTCTGGTCCAAATTTCAGCTTTTTATGTTAATTTTTGAAAATCGGTGGGGGTCACCCAATATATTTTTACTAATTCCTACATATATTCTTCAATTAGGAGCCATAAGTCATTTTTAGCCCGAGTCAGGGCTTACGTACCCGTCATGTCCGTTTGTCTGTCTTGCGATAACTGCCGTAAAACAAATCCGATCGACTTGAAATTTTGCACATATGTAGTATGGGTCAAATGAGGAGTTCAGTTCGAAGATGGGCGCAATCGGTCAAGTGATTGACTGGTGGGGGTCATCGGAGCGGATGGGGTATTATGCACCAAAATTTCAAAACTGGAATAGAAAGCTGAAATTTGGTACAGAGGTTGCTAATGGTTTATAATGAAGGAATACAAAGTAAAATTTCAAAAATTTTCATCTGGAAGGACCCGAGGGGGTGACCCATACCGATTTTTAAAACTTATCCAATCGAGCTGAAATTTGGTACATAGGTTCTCAATGGGTACTAATGGAAGAATATGAATTGAAATTCAACCCATTTTCACCTGAACAGACCCTATGGGGTGACCTATACCAATTTTTCAAATTCTTCAAATCGAGTTGAATTTTGATAAAGTTGGTAATAGCTCCTAGTGGAACAATATGAAGTAAAATAAGAAAAAAATTTCATCTGGAGGACCTTATTGGGCGACCCATACCGATTTTTTGAAATCCTCGTATGAAATTTGCTAAATAGCCTGCCAATTGTTACGAAGAGAAGAATGTGAATTTAAATTGGAAAAATCAATCTAAATTTTTAAATTTTTTGAAATGTATTTACGATAAAATGTCATGCAAAAAGTCGGATTGAGTGATAATCACAACTTGGCCTGACTCGGGCTATATCAAGTCTGCACTATAGGTGCTATTATCTATTAAGGGCCATTAGCAACATCTGTACCAAATTTCAGCTTTCTACGACAATTTTGAAATTTTGGTGCATAATACCCCACCCACTCCGATGACCCCCACCGGTCAACCGCTTGACCGATTTGGCCCATCTTCGAACTCGTTTCCTAACTTTGTCCAATACGCATATGGTAAAAATTTCAAGTCAATCGGTCAACTCGTTCGAGAGTTATCGAAAGACAGACAGACAGACGGACATGACAATTACATAAGCCCTCGTTCGGGCTAAAAATTAAGGTTATGAAGATGTTTATTTACAGACTGTACTTTTCCAATATACATAATTCCAGGATTACCCATTGTTCCATTTCACATTACAATTATGCTGCATACATATGCACATCATCATTACTGCTTTGCAGTCGTTTAGCCATTTATTAAAAAATATCTTTCATAGCTTGACCATATACGGCAATCATGACATGGTGACGATGTCGGGTGACGAGGACTTTTGTCGACGCTGAAGCCCAGCCAACGAATGACCTCACCATCTCGAGAGCCTTGACCCCGCTCACTCTCTTTTCCATTTTCTCCGATTTCCTCATCAAGTCCGCTGCTCACACACCATCGCAATTAGTATTGTCTGCCTATCGCTTTTCACCAGGCAAAGAAAATGTTGCTCCCTACAGTATTTTCTGGGGGATTATTCCTCTTCTTCCCCACGACGTTTGCTTTGTTGCTGATCATTGTTCCTTCAGCTCAAGGTGTGTCGAAATTTGGATCGCTTCGTCATCGTGTTGGAAAATCGGATCGCGTCGTCGTGGAACAAAATCAAGGTGTCCCCCGACCGAATCTATTGTTCACTAAAAGTCTTGCCACAAAGATCATCGATGTTTTTGCAATTGGTTGGGAATTGGTCGTGAAATATCAAATATTCAACATTGGTGACGCTCCCGCTGTGAATTTGGCTGTATACGACATTGATTTTGAGGTGGATGGAAAGTTCATTGCGGTCTTGGAAAAGTCGAATGGAACGGTCGGAGAAGGCAAACAGAAGGATGATCACGAAGCAGCTGGTTTGATTGGCGAAGATGGAAGATTCAAACAATTGCCCCCAACAATTGGGCCTGGAAAGAACTTTACCTGGGAGTTGGTCGTGTTGCCTGTGGCTTCCAAATTTGCTGACAGACGCTACCGATTTCAAGAGGCCAAAATCACGTATGAGAAACTCAGCGGCGATGAGGTTTGCTTAAATACTTATTTGTTATTGGTTATAAATATTTAGTAACTTTGAAGTGACTGCTGACAATCCTATAATGTGCATGTATCTACAGGGAACCCCAGAAATAGTTGGATGGTCAAGCTTAAGCCATAAAGAAGTCAAATTTCTACCACAACTTGAGGCTCAGCGACGATTCAGGTCGATGAAATCTAAAATGGTATGAAATTGTAAATGAAGTCATCGAGTTCTGATTGTTACACTGTACATCTATCTATATAGATTGACCTAATATTGTTTCTGCTCATGACGATCCCCACGGTTCTGGCCCCCTACACAATGTGGAAGAGGCACTCTAACAAGTATGATGCTTTACAGCTATTCTGGAACAATCACAAGGCCAGTGTCAAGGGTCTCGCAAAGAGTCAGAAAGTCAAGAATAATAAAAAGATTAAGTAGTTCAATAATTAAAGTATTACGGTGAAACTGTTGTGAATTTCTATCGACTGTTAAATGTAGTTCTTCCCTTGTTTTTGTATGGCATACATGAGGATCACAAAAATGTTACTAATGTTTATTAATAAATTATTGGTTTATTATTTTAAATTAATTTAGAATTTACAAAACTGTTTACGTTCAAGCTAAGTATAATTATGTATTTAGTACACCAGCCAATAACGCTCGAACGGATAAACCTCTGCGTTCTGTAGTTACATCTAATTTTTAAGGCAAGGACGAGTTCCTTATAGCTGACGTGGTCAAAAGCGTTACAAAACCTGGTCATACTCCTGACAGCCTGATAACCTTGTACATGAGGTCACGTCCAACTACCAAATTTTGGCATTTTGCAAGTGATACATACATCCATATCGATAACAAATATCCCATGCATAATTCTCATCCTCAGTACTTTACCTCCGCTACTTGACTATTTCTGTGGCTGGAATGTAATATTTGTTTCGTAGAAAGAAGGCAAAGATTTGAAAAATCGTCCCGTTTTTCTGTCACATCATATCTCGGCGGACCAACATTTAAATAAGCGCTGACTTTGGCTAAAAACGACAAAAGACGTATTCCGAAAATCCCTCCTTACTTTTTATGGTAATTAGGCCGCCTTGCTAGTGCTAAAACCGGCAGGCGATTACAAAAATTATTTTAAAAATTTAGAAACGGATCGGCTTATTGAACCCGTCCGTCTGTCCGTCTGTCAGCCTATTAACACCAATGCTGAGCCCACGTCGTCCTGGGCGCTCCACGTTCCCAACTGAAATCAAATTCACACGCATTTAGTTTGACGCTAAACTATTTTCAAAGCTGGATGAACTCTTCTTTAGCAAACAGATGTATGGGCAGATATTTTAGTGCATTGAGAATTTGAATTTTAACAACAGGACCTGTAGATATTTAACATACCAAGCCATGCCAAATGCACGCAATTTTAAGGAAATGATGATGATAGCACATGATATTTCTGTTTTGGATTGCAGTTCAGCAGGCATGTTGTTTATTGCTCAAATTTCAAGACAATTATAAATTCGAAAGAATTAATGGCATAGAATAATGAATTTAATTATTTTTCATGTGGAGTATTTTTCGGTTTGTCCTGGTATTTAGCAGGACACAGGATTTTAGCGTGATGTGCAATATGATCTCCAATGAAAGATTGCACAAAGAAGTAGGAATGATTATATCCTGGCTGCATTCGTAAGGTCAATTTTACATGATGCGGACTTTGTCCGGCCGCAGCGATAAGGTTTTCTGGATGTAGAATTTGGAGCAGAAACTCGTCGCTATCGCCCTGTATAAACGAAGTAAATAAAATAATAACGTAAAGTAATCCATTGAATGAATTCATTTTAACTTAGATAACTATAGAGTGCGTATAGTATTATAGTATCGTTTTTACCTGATCCACCAAAATGTCACGGGGTGGGCCTGTGTAACCCTTGATTAGTTCACAAGAATCATAGGACGCCCAGAGTTCCTTGTTCTCCTCTCCAAGATAGTTTTTAAAGACTTTATCCTTGGCCCAACTGGTAATTGAAGGGTTCGTAATGGGAGCAAAGGCAGAAATTGAGAGAAACAAGTGAGGATTTCTCAAGGCACATACTATAGCACCATGTCCCCCCATGCTGTTTTTCCATAAGATTATTATTCCAAAGAATTCGATACTTGTTAGCACACATGGATAGGTACAAACCTGTGTCCAAAAATCCCAAATTTTCCGGAAGTTGGAAAGTTGTCGCTGACAAGTTTAGGAAGCTCTTTCGTTACATACGAGTACATTCGATAATGTTTGGACCAAGGTTCCTTGACAGCGTCAACATAAGCACTGGCACCTACAATATAAATTATTCAACCTTTTCGCTATTTCGCTACGATGGTCCTACTAAATTGAGCTTATTTTTAGTAGGCCTACCTTCGCCAAAGTCCCACGCATCCTTCTCACCAGGCAAGTTGCAACCTCCTATCAAATATTTTAAACAGACGTAAATATACTTATTATAGCATGATTGATTTTATACGACTGACTTGGACTGGTGTCAGGTCCAACGACAATGAGTCGATGTTCGGAAGCATACTTTTGGAAGCCTGATTTTTGGATAAAGTTTTGCTCGGTGCAGGTGAGCCCGGAGAGATAAAAGAGGACAGGAAACGTCTCCCCTGGGGTAGAGGACGAGGGCTCGTACAGCGAAAAGTTCATGGAACACCCAACTTCCGAACTCACGTGCTTATACACTTTTTGCACCCCATTGTAGCACTTTGCAGAAGAAATGAGTTCAAGTGCCATTTTAAACAGGGAACCAATTTCTGAGCAGTGGTTTGGAAATATATTTTTTCACAAGATGGATTGGGAAAGAAGTGAAAGATCAAAGAACTGATCTGATAGATGGTTGATGGACCCCGCCGTAGGTTACCACCAATGAATGCAATATGCACGTTATGCTAAATATATGCCGTAATCTGTATATAGTAGTAAATGACATGAATCATTAATTTAATTCACCAACTTGTGAATAACTAAAAACGAACAGAATTGATTAATGTACAATGGCTCACAGAGTTTATTTGACAGCAAATCTATCACGCAATTTGGAACATTTCACATTTAGATTCTCATTCTCGAGTATCTCGAGTCGAGAATCTCGATGATAAAAAAGTGTTTATAAATATACATAAAGTATTTACGAAATTTGTGGCGCTTAAAAACTAGAATGGAGGCATATAAATAACGAAATATAGTAATAACATTCAGCCATGGTTTGATAGAGTATGCACCATTCTGTGACCAATTCTTTTATGGGACATCTCTCTCTCGATAGCTGCCACTCCACGGCAGCCCCTTATCCTCCGACATCAGTCTGCAAATAAGAGAACATTTTAAACTTCTAGTATAAAATGAACATTTTAACTGGTTGCAGGAGCGATGAAGAAACCAATTAATAAATTGAAATGCATTTAATTTATTATACCTCCTCATAAAGTTGACTTTAGCCGGAAGTTGCGCATTTGCAAAGATCACACAGTCCGAATCCATAGAGGGATTGGTATTCAGATTCTCATGGGTTGTTTGATTGTCCTGTGGGAATCAATTAAAAAATACTTAACTAAAATTAAAAAAAAGATGGGTTATAATTAATTTTATTTATTTATTATATTGATTAAATATGCTTGAATTTGAATTCACGAACTTACTGACTACGCCCGATTGTTGGAATATTAATGACTCGAGTTGTAAATTACAACTTGTAATTTACAAATATTATAAATAATGTTCGTTGACGAAAAGTAATGCAAAATTATTTGTGCTGCACACAGCACACCGCACCGCACCACTCTTTTTAAGGAGTGAGTACACAAACACATGTAGAAGATGCAGTGTCAGTGACACTGTGTCACATTTCCCAGAATTATTCGACTGAAAGAATTTTTCCCATCAGTGAGCACATTGCCTTGAAATCTGATGTTCGAGTTAGATTTTTAAGTGTTTTTAAGTGTTGAAAGCCTACGAAAAAATAAGACCATGACACCAACCATTGTAACGGACGGAGATGATGCTGATGTCGCCAGGTTGAAAGATACCATTTCCAGTCTTGCTAAACAACTTGACATTCTTCAGAAATTTCTCCAACTCAAGTTTGGTAAGAAATTCTTACTAAGAATCGATGAACATTCTTCGTGGTTGATCATTATGACTTCATGTCTCTCTTTTTACCAGGAAGGGAATTTGACGTTTTTCTTAGTGATAAGAACGAAATCTCTGCAACCACACCCATTTGCCACCAGGATACTGCACAACTTGATGATATAAAAGTATTCGCCGAGCCTCCAATATTAATCCAAAATCATGAATTCAAATGTGATGTAGATGAACAAGTCGCTGAAAAGCGTGTCCATGAGACTGTCAGCAACGATACAACACCTGGCACTAAAGAGCCCAAGGGTAATAATAAATAATCCACATAAACATAGTTTGAAATTCAATCTTTAGATATGCGTTTGTTGTTACTATAATTCATAATATTTTCCAGCCTCCAAACCCAAACTGAAATCAAGAAATCCAACTCTCGGAACAAGAAAAATATGTGGTGTCCCCATTAAGAAGAATAAAGCCGGAAACGTCATATGTTCATTGTGTCACAAGGAATTTTTGGGACCTCAAGCATCTCGTAATTTAAGGAATCATTTAGAAGTTCACAATACAGATCGTAAATATGACTGTCCACATTGTCCCAAAAAATTTTCTCAGAAAAGACCACGAAGAACACACATCCAGAGAATGCATCAGAGAGATAAAGTCCTAATTCATGGCTGCTTTTCATGCGAGAAGAAGTTTTGTTCTCCACAAGAGTTAACAATTCACGAAAGAGTACGGATTTGTTTTTGTTAGCACTTCAAAATTTTTTAGACTAAGTAGTTGTTTGTTTAAATCATCTGTAGATACACACAGGGGACAAGCCGTTCGCCTGTGATAAGTGCCAGTACAAATGCTCTCAACTTCACAACCTGTTAAGGTAAGATGAGAACCACAATCACATATGTATATGCTAATTAATATACAAATAGTTCTCATTTTTTCCTAAATTATTTAGATCGCTAATCATATCAATGGTTATTTATATATGTAGGCATCAGCAATCCATTCATTATCATGAAAAGTTAATTTGCTATCAATGTGGAAAGTCTTTCGCATCAAAAAGGGGACTAGCTCAGCATGAAGAGAAACGTAAGAAATAACTTGTGGCCTATTTGATTAGAATGTGCATCAAACCCTGCAGGGTATAGATAATAAAAAATAACTTGCTTTCTCATTTTATTTCACAGAGCATTCATCCGACGACCCCTTTGGAATTGAACAAAGGAAAATTTCCTGTGACATCTGCCAAGATCGATTTGTCAGTAAACAAGCCTTAACTAAGCATTTAAAAACCGTGCACAATATAATTCCGGATAGTAAACCAAGACCAAGCAAAGCGAAAAAAACGAAAAAAAATCAAGCTGACCCGGAAACAAGTTTTTCTGCGATTGAAGTGACTCTTGCTGAGGTGGAATTAGAAGAAGTGCCCTATGCATGATTAAAGTCATGAAACAATTAATGTTCTTACGTAAAAGACGGAATTTAATTTGCAAGCAGCAGCGTGCTCCCATTTATTTTGTGTTTTATAATTTTATAAAAAACAAGTAGTTTACTCTGTTGACAAACTATATTAAGTAGTATTATTACAATTGTTATTTATCAATACAACTTTTCTACAGCTATAAAATTAACTATTTATATTTAAAAACACAATTTACGGAATAAATAGTACCTCTGCTGCTGGTCAGATTTATGAATATTATGAATAAAGCAGTCACTGTGCCTGATTGGCTGTCATAATAATGATACAAAAACAAGTGGAAGAAAAAACTTTTCGTCAATCCTACGTCTAATTTAAATTATTATTACGTACGTGACCCCCATCGATCTGTAAGTAGTAAGTACCATGTGATTTGAAACAACAACAAAAAACAGAAAACTGACCATTTTTGTTTGCAACTTGATAAAAAAAACTTAATTATGATTACTGGATTTTTGTTTGAAACATAATAAGGCAGGTCAGCCTTTACACCTCTCAATTATTTAATATCAAAAATTTAACATAACTGTTTAGCAAAGTTCTGAGGATAGATAATACATTGGAGAGAATTCATCAGTTGAAGAAATATTCTCATTTGAACTGGGTCGTTGACGCTTCTGTTCATGTTTTGACTTGATGTGGTTATTCATGTTGTCTTTCCTAGCAAACTTTTCTCCGCACTGGGCGCAGGAGAAGGGCTTTTCGCCGGTATGAGTTCTAAACAAACCAATTACAAAATAGATAAATGGTGATGTCTTTTATATATATCTTGTGTATAAGACGAGACAGAGGATAGGCTCACCTGTAGTGTCTACCATACTTGTGCCATCCAGCTTTGAGGACCTTGTCGCAGATTTTGCACTGAACAGACTTATCTGGGAGCACATCATAGTATTCTCGGAGATCTTCGTTGCATTCCGGGTCAACCCTTTCCATTTTGACATCCAGCATACCATCTAATGCTCCTCCATCATCAGTAGAAATAGTAGTGAGACCAAGAAGGTCGTCATAATCATCTTGTTGAGAATCCGTATTATTTATCTGCTGCGGTGGGGCAATTACTTGAGGGTGAAGATAGGGCATCTTTGATAGTGGAGAAGAATTTGATTCTCCCAATGAATTCGAGGCAGCTGGGCGCTTACGACCCCCTATGAATAGATAGAAATAAAATATATCAATGAAATATTATACGGACAAAAGTATGCACAATAACCTATTGCTAAATATATATATATATAAATATTCAATTTGAGTACCCAAAAAGTTAGATGGTAATCGTAATTTGTGTGTTTCTACGCCTGCTGTCTTCGGATGGGCGACCGACATTGATTTAACGTATGTTCGGGCAGGAGGGGGTCGCGCTGTGATGGGAGGAGGACTTGGTAATCTAATAGCTGGAGCCATTTCCTTCTTAATAATCTTTTCACTGATACCTGAATAATGAAGACGGGAAGGAATATTACAACTTGTGTAAATATGGATGCCAAAAATTGAAACGTATTTCTGACTTACAATTTACAATTACGAGACCTGAATTATCGTGATCTTCATCATTCCCATTGCCATATTCAACGGCTTCCTCGTCATAATACTCTTCATTCCCATCAGCTTGTTCATTTTTCATCTCGTCATAATAACCTTCTTCACCTTCATATTCGTATTCTTCACTAGCATCGTACTCTCCAATTTGGTTGTATTGATATCCATCCGAGTCGTCAATAATTTCGACGAATGCCAATGGGTCCGAAGTGTCTTGTACTTCGTTAGTATATTCTACTGAAAATTCACGTTCATAGCCTAGAAAAATAATTTAGTAAACATTAACAAATAATTTTTAAATAAAATAAAATTCGAGATGCACAATTTAATTTTTGTAAATACTTTGCGAAGTTGTCGCTATCGTGGACGCTGACCCCGTCTTTGTGGAGGAACAATATGGATTTGGTAGCAATCTATTTGAGGTAGTAGGAATTGGTTTTTCAAAATACACACCTCGATTGCTGGCATAGTCAACAAATCTTGAACCTACGAAGTTGTAAAATTTTAATTGCTGTTTATGCACAATTACAGAAGTGCAAAATTAATACGTTATATAATTTCAATAGAATTGCAATAGAACTTCATTATGATAATTTAAACTTTCACTAAACTTTTCTATAACTCACCAAATTGTTTCTGAAGAAAGTCCTGCATCACTGTCAGCTGAATGGAGAAAACTTCCAAGTTTTCCACACATCCAGACACTTGGTTTTCCAAACTGTTTATGCGGTTATGTATTTTTGCCATGTCTTCTGGAAATAAGTATGAAAAGAATATGTAATATTTTTTAAAAGTTGTTACTAAAAACGTTTCAGCAAATTGGTTGTTTGATAGATTGAAACTGACTGAATAGAATAATCCTTTACCGTTTCGTGTTGTGGTTTTATTATTATTATGCAACACTGAGGGAAGCAGTAATAATAAACAACGTTGATGTATGAATTAATTTAGAAATATTTGTGGGATTTGTGGATGACGAATGACGATGACCATGAAGTAGTGGTCGTGCAAAATGGAGTTCTTGAAGCGGTCTCCAAAGTCGGTCTCACGTTTCCCCCACGGTCTAAAACGGTCACCTACTGTCTGAAAAACTATTCCTCTCAGACCTCCTCTCTCTCTCACTCACACTTGACACACTGATAAGCACAACTGTAACACCTTATCAATTATTGTCTTATTATGGACACTTCCTGTCGTCTCCTATACAACTCATGGGCCGGATGACCGTGAATGTGAATACAAACTTGGTGATTATGCGACCTCCTCTTGCTCGTAGCCTGTCTCGGGACTCGGCTCGTCGCTCCGCCTCAAGAGGATGGTTCTTATTATGCTCTCCCGTGCATAAGAAACCGGCTTACAAAATATATCGCTTTGTTGTACACGCTGGATACATGCGACTACATCTGCTGGAGCATAGCCCTGAAGGGTATCCCTATTTTTCATGTCAAGCAAGGATGGGAACTGCAGGAAATCAATGAGTTTTTTACGGCACACATCATTTCATAATAAGAATAAGGGCTCTCTTTGCTTTGCTCGGACGCAACCTCTTTTGGGGGACCGTACATAATGTATGTGATGGATTTTGACCCCAACCTTATTTTATGGGGGTGATTTATATTCCCCATGTTCAAATCTCCACGGGAGGATATAGGATGCTTTACGTGCTAAAATCATTCGATCGCTTGCTTTATGCACAGTCCCTCAATAGTTCCATGAAATTTATTTTCGTGAAAGCATTGCAACGTTTTTATTAGGTAAAAATGTAAAATTAATAAATTAGGCTACATGTTGTTCTTATTAATATTTAATACACGTAATGGCTCTGATTTTCTTTGGTGTTGATATTTATTGCCTATTATTTCTTACTAGGACTACACGACCAGATTTATTTGATTGTAAAAAACCTATCACTCAATAAAAGAAGCCACCTCACAAAAGTAAAATTGTTAACTAAACTTTACTGAACAAAATATAACAGGGACCTGGAACATACTAACCTACCTATATACACTTGCGCAATAATTACTAGGAGCATGAATAGTTGTGTGAAAAATTTCTGAACTTCTGTTATATTAGAAATCGCCATCTTCTCCATTTTCTTCTTCGCCACCAATATAATCTGTTTCAGCATAGTTGTTCATCTCATCCATTTGTTCTTCATCCCCCTCATTCTGGGCGTCATCATCATCTTCATCCTCCTCATTGTAATCATCGTCTGGTTGGCTAACAGAGTGGTGGACTAATTTCATATGCGACTGGAAAATAGTCTCACTGGCAAATAGCTTGGCGCAGATTTGACATTTAAAGCCTTGGAGAAATTTTTTAGTGCTATTATTATTGGAAGCAGGCAATAAAGCGTAATTATACTGGTTTGATGGCGACGTTTGAACAAGAATGCTTCCATTTGGAGAGTGATGTTTAGCAACATGGACATTCATGTTATCTTTTCGAGAGAAGGATGCTGGACAAAATTCACACTAAAATGGCGTACAAGAGAAAAAACGTTTCATTTTTTCGTAGATAAACTTATTTTTTTAAGAAATGGTCCTAACTTTACCTGAAATGGTTTTTCTCCCGTATGTGTTCTTAAATGCTGAAAAATAAAAACAAAATGGGTACTTTTATATGTAAATATATATATACTTAAAAAATCATCATCTCGAGTTACTTGGATAAATTTGCCCCGTCTTTTCAATATTTTCTGACACATTTTGCATTGAATCAGTTCATCATTGATTTTTTTGTAAAATTTTGAATACTTCCCAGCCTTAAAATCTTCATTGTCATTACTTAAAAGGATTTCATTTCCACGATTTCCTCCTATAACTGGTCTAATTACGGGCGTGGGGGGAGTTTTTTGCCATCCTGCCCCATTATTTGTAAAAGTCTGACGATATTGGGATGATGAGGTTGGACGCTGTTGAAGTAATGGAAGAGGACGGAGAAATTTAAGTCCAGTTGCTGGATTTGCTTGTTGTCGAGGTTGAACTGATAAAAAAGGCAAAAATTCGTAGAACAATTATGAACTGGACTGTCTAATTTGTCTTAAATACGGTACCCTTGTGATGAGATTGCTGAAGTTGTTGAACCCTTTGAATAATTTGTGCACTGCCCTGAACAACTCCAACTCGATTTCCATTCACCAGAGAATTTGGTTTCTTATGGACTAATGTAACACGAACAGGAGATGGTTCTTCTTGTTCTTCATCCCCAAATTCCTCCTCGTCATCATCTTCAGTTTCGTCAACTGAAAATAAATAAAATAAAAATACCGTAAGCCAAAATCAAAGCATTTATAATCTTGTAAAATTAATTCCATGCCATGAATTTTCAGAATGTCTGTAGCACATTCAACTCCATCTTCATAATCTTGTCCAAATTGTTCTGCATTATTCTCATCGTCATCCTCTTCAACTATTTTATGAAAGAAAGCCAAGTCAAAGAAATGAATTATTAACTATTCGTAGTTAGATCAATATATTAGACAAACCTTTATTGACAGCACCACCCATTCGAAGATTTTGTATTTCAGTAAATGCATTTTCAGCATTTTCCGCAAGCACAAAGTCCTTGAACTTGTCACCTGGGCCAAATCGAACCAATATTATTCAGAATAATAATAACAATACTTGAGCAATAAGTGGAGCCAGGGATAAGTTGAATTAATTACCAAACTGAGCGAGGAGAAAGTTATGGATGGTTGAATAATGGTAAGTCAGCTCTTCAAAGGCTTCTGCGAACTTTGTGAGTTCGCCCTCCAAAAATTTGACCCGTTCATCCATGTCGAAAGGCCCAATTCCAAAGAGGATAATTATTTTACTAGGAATAAGGAGTGACGAAAACAAGTTTTTCTGTTGTTAGGTTTGGGTTTGCTGGGTTGGAGTTGGCGGACCCTGCCTGTTCCCTGTAGCACACAGACCCTCATCTGCCGAACGAGTCGACCCGACTCGATGATGAGCAGCTTTTCCATGAACACTGACTGACTCCAATCTCATCTCGAGATGACGACGAGTGCACTTTTTCTCCCACTTTCTCCCACCACTTTCTCCACAAAAATCAACCTGGCACTCATCATCAGGGATAAACATGTCACACAAATGACAATTTTCCTCCACTCTGACTTCTCAGTCTTATTTATTCATGCATGGGCCTGGATAGGATGGGCCATGGATAATCTCACTATAAGGAAACATCATTCATTTCATTCCGTTATATATAATCCGTCACTTTTAATGAGTTGTGCATTATGGCTTTGATGCAGGTATTTAGACTTGTTGACTTGGGAGATGCGATATTATTGCGAAAACAGTTTTTTGTGAAGCTTGATGATGATCCTCTCTGTAATATCATCCAAAACTGGCCTCTTCTCCATGCGTTTTGTCAAGCATTTATTATCTTCTAGTTTGTCCAGATGCAAAAAATGAAGCCTTGGGTGGGGGACAGGCTAGCTTAGTCCTGTCCAGCACGAGCATTGATATGATGAGATGATAATATGATGCGAATATTTATTCCTGCAAAAACAAGTTTATTTTATATATAGTCCGTCAGATAGTAAAAGAGCAGTCAATTTATTTAAGTATGCAAACTACTTGTTACATCCATTACACCCACGGCTCCCACCAAGATGTGTAATTATTATCAAGGGCAAAGGACGCCTTATCTTGCACTGTGCCATGAATGCCATCCTCACTGCCACATAACAAATAAATGCATGAATAAATTCAAACAAATGTGATTTATTTATGTCAGTTGTTGATTACGGTGAAGACCTTAAAGTCAGAAACAACTCTGCTGGTGCATCTTGTACATCAAAATGCATATATTTTTGTACATAGCTGTTATCGGTGTATTTTCCTCAGTGGGTGGAGCATTTGGGAGCACGGGAAATATCCCCAGCAGGAAGAATGACTTGGTCAGTGACACGAGTTCCGCGTCGACTGTGACTGGGGACGAGGATGAAGACATTCGCAGGGAACAAAAGCCTTTTGTAGTTCGACTGCCCACGAATTACAGCATGCACCTGCCCCCACCTCTCATCAACGGACAAGCCGTCCCAATCTACTTTTCTCTCCTCCTGTTTAACGTCTTCGACATTAAGGAACTTCAAGGAGATCTCAGTCTGGAGACAAATCTCAAAATATACTGGAGGGACACGCGACTAGCAAATTTAACCGGAAATGGCAACGACGAGGAGTATCTTGTTCTGAGTCCTTCCCTTATAACACAAGTTTGGCATCCAGACGCATTTGTGGATCACATGAAGAGCGTTGCCCAACCCTCACTGATTTCGAAGGCTGCATCACTCCGACTTTATCCGGATGGTACCATAATAAATATAGTACAACGCACATACATAATAATAAATATAATACCAACTATTATGCTTGTTAAGAATAATAGATACTGGGAGAATATATGTGAGTATGATTTTTTTGATATATAGGATCGCTCCGATACTCGGCAAGAATGATAATTAATTTGAGCTGCCGAATGGATTTCTATTTTTATCCCGCCGACACGCAGCGTTGTCATCTGGACATCAAAAGCTATGCTTATTCGACGAAACATGTCACCATTTCCTGGAAAGGTGGAAAAGGTCCTGAGCTCGCGTATCCCATCGATATTCACAATTTCGACGTGGCATTGGACACTGAGCCGGATTACACTCAGGACACGAGGTCGGCGTCTTACTCTGCCATACGATTCACGCTCTACCTCCGCCGGAAGTTGAGCTACCACATTTTTCAAACATTCATCCCCAGTGCGCTATTCACCATCGTCTCCTGGCTCAGCTTCCTCGTTCCTCCAGAAAGCACTCCGGGTCGAATGGCAATTTGTGTGACCACTCTTCTCACACTCTCCGCCATGTTTTCATCCGTGCGGCAGAACATGCCCTCTACAAGCTATTTGAAGGCCTTGGATCTATGGATGCTGACCTGTGTGGTATTCGTCTTTACCGTTATCATTGAATACACAGCGGTTCTCAAATTGAGGAGCATGACTGTCAAAGAGAAGAAGGAGCCCGTCGTGGTTTTGGTCCCATCATCAGGCACCAAGTCTGACTCGGGAGGAGTGATAATGGACGTCAGGGCGAGGTCAGTGTCAACCGAACCAAGTCCACAACTCGTGACGAAAAGAAGCAACTTTTCCGCCTTGGATTTTAGCAACAATGGTGATGGGAATCCTGCCACCGTGCCCTTGCTGATGTCGCGACCCATGACTCCGGCCAGTCCGTTGCCCCCCTCCGACAGTGGGGGTGAGAAGAAGAAGCCCACCAAGTACTTCATACTCGCCTGCAAATTTGAAAAATATACCCCGAGAATTATGCCGCTGCTATTTCTAGCCTTTAATCTAGCCTACTGGCCAGGTCTGCTCATCAGTTCTGACTACTATCAGTTGAGAGGTGACAAAGAAATGTACTACTCACTGTGAAAAACAAAATATCTGAAAATTCCAGAATTATTAGAAATAATTCTACAACTCCTAATTGCCATTACATGTGTACATGTATGTACTTCTCTAACCGGCGCTTTGTACTTTTATGTTATCATTTACAAACTTATATTGCGTGTACATAAAATTCTCAAGCATACACATATTATAACCATTTTGCCCATTATTTTGCCCATCAGTTTCCGGACCATTCACTCTGCCATTAACACAAAATACTTTCAAGGTTAAATTGAAACTAGTCAGACATGCAACTATATGTACGAATCGGTGCATGTCTATGTAAATGATGCCAAGTAGTTTTTCATACTACTGTTGAATAATTGTGCTAATTATTTAATTTACATGAAAAGTATCTTTGAATTGTGCATTGCATATGCATACATACGTACAGTATTTATGAAGTATTTTTTTTAATTTGCTATATTTATGGGAATTGCACCCCTGTGTTTTTCAATTAGAGTGTATCAAATGCAGCAACAGTTGATGCCCAATGTACGTTTTAAATCGAAATCATACTTATCATTGCGAAGAACTCGGTGACTCGTGATTAATAAATTATTAATTCGAGAGTATTACTCATGATCTTTCCTTGAAATATGGAACGAAACATGCAACATCTGCACATCTGCACGCATTAATTTCGGGCATTTTAAAGTTTAACCATGTCCAAATGTGTTCGTTACTAGTCGTGGACGACAATTTTTGCAATGTATTTTCTGGAAAAACTTTGGCTAACAAAAGCTACGGATTATCATAAATCTAATCTACATATGTAGAGCTCCCTATTACTAAATTTTCATTTAAAATATGCAGAGTAAATTTATCTCAGATTTGAGATCGAAGCAAGTCAAGCGTGCATAAGTTGCATTGTCATCATTCCGAATTTATAATTGAGTTTCAGCTTCATGTATGTATGTAGGTTCAAGTCAGTTGATGGTGACATGATGAGTCAGGGTTACATTACTGACTCTATGGTCAGGATAGAAACATTCCATATTTAATAATGTGACAATGGTATTGTGTCAGTTAGAGGGAAACGTATAGAGTTCATGGTAATTGAATGGTTGACGGTCACATAGGTACAGTCACGGAAGATGAATTAGCGGTGCAAAATTTGGCTAAATATTACAATACACATTTGCAATATCTACAATACAATATTTGTGCGTTGGAAGTTGGAACGTTGTGGAAGATTGATCTGTATATTGCTACATGCACGCTCATCAGTGGAACTGCTTTAGGAAAATCCAAGTTTTAGTAAGCAGAGTTAATGGAAAATTTAATGAACAGTTCGCTTTAGGCAACCGTGATTTCTGTCACCATCATAATATCCAGAGCAGCTCATTAAATTTATGCTTTACTTTGCTACGGTTCACTTTTTAAGCTGTTGTGTTGATTATATATTGGTCCGCATAGCATTAGTCGGGTAATAAAGCACATAAAGTCAAGACTAAATAAAACAGTTATCGCCTTCAACTTAATCCTTACTTTTGGATCAACAAAGAAAAAGGACTGCTCATAATATTTACGAATATTATACAAGTTATTAAGTAATATGTTATAGCAAACTTTTTAGCGACTGTGCAAAAAGCGTGTGATCGATTTGAAGGAGCAGGGGTTAAGGCGGCCTATCCTTCCTATTTTAATACGGGACATATAGGTCACACCGGGGGAGTGGGGGTCAAAATTCTCCAAAAATCGATCAATACTTTATGCACGGTCCCTCACTGACTAATCCTATTAAGCACACATCGTTGGCAGAAGAAACCATACGTCTGCACTTTGCAAGATGTTGCACACATACGGATTTGTATGCATATTATTCTCAGAGATCATGTTTCAACTTTCATCACACCGAGTGTCGTGGTAATTTTATTGTCCAGTGAAGTTGGTTAACTTGAGTGAGAAGTGCGCGTGGTTGGGCGTCTGCATCTTGGAGAAATGTCCTCAAAGTGTGACTTTGAATTTCCTTTGGCAAAATGATCATGCCAAAAAGTCAATGTCGATTTAGGAGGAGCAAGTTGTTGCCTTCCTCAGTTCTGATTCTGTTTACAATAATTGGACAAATTTTTGCACAAAACACTTTCAAAAGTATCCAGTTGCGACTACAGATTTGCAGCGGACAAGACATCGGCGATGATGAACAAAAGGACATAATTCTCAAGAGTTTTTTAGGCAATATTCCCATATTGGGAGAAAATTCGAGTTTAGAAATTGTTCCAAGGTAAACAAGTAAAGCGTATGTATGAACGTATTTATGTATGTTTACTTATTTCCTAGTACGAGGGTTTATGTTTAAAATTTTGTGCGTACTTTTTATTTATTTAGCATCCACCAAAGTCAAAATTGTGAAGCTGGTGTCAATTTAAGGAAAAATTATCGATCTCAAATTACCGAACTTAATGAAATTGACGCTAAGACAGCCGGGTTTAGCAAAGGATCCATTACAGCGTACATTTCTTATGAGAACGATGAATTAATATTCCAATCAGAAAACTCGACCTACACCCTAAAACAATTCTGTGTCAGTCCAAAAGTTAGCATTGGTAAGGTCTTGAGTCACACCCTAATCGAATAATAATTAGACTGGATATAGACACGACGCCTATACAAATTTTATCACACAAATGTCTAGAGCAGATGCCGACAATAATAAACCGTCCAAAAAAGTCGACGAATCGCAACGGGCCAACTTTGCAATTTTTGAATGCCGTCATGCACGATCACGTTTACATGGTTGCAGCCAGCATGTGCCCTGCATCCGCAAGTGTTGTCCGATAGACGAGGCCTGGGATGTTAAAAACTCTTCGTGCCAGAAGGTTGACATTGCAGAGACGGCATCTCGGGCTTGGGACCCCAATTTCTATGAGGTGACCGATGATGGAGATTGTGTCATTAAATTGAAAGATCTTCATGGACCAAACACGCCACCACCGCAGTTTCACTACGATATTGGACCTCCACGCAAATGTGGCCAGAGTGAAGAATGGAATGTAATCCCGTCAAGAAATATACCCGGAGAGCTTGGTCTAGGAAGGTGAAGGACTGTTTGTTAAAAAATATTAATTTTAATTAACTAGAGGCTGCATATACATACATACATATTTGTGTACTAAATGAATAAGTTGTGAATTACGATTTCAGATTCCGAATGCTTTTAAATGGATCAGTTCTCATGAACTATGACAATGGATCTTGGGTCTCGCTATCTCGAGGAACTTACTGCGTGGATGAAATTATGACGACAATGCACCATAATAAAAATGGAACGCTTAGAAGATGCAGACGAAGTACAAAAGTATTGTTGGTGTGTAAAGATGAATATCAATTGCGTGGACCGAAGGTAAGTATTTACATGTCCATCAATGGATATTCATGTACACCACGTATTCAATAATCAATCCAATTAACGAGCTGTACTGATTTCAGAAACCAATTCCATCCGAATACGCAACAATGCTGTTTTCTGCAGCCACAATATTGCTGCTAATTGTGATTGTCTATCTGCTCCTTTGGGATCGTCACAGCATTTACGAGTGGACTGTATTTTTTGAAGTACTCTCAATGATTATGATGATCATCATGGTTGGCGTGTCACACTCCGTGGCACGAGATGCGACGGAGGGGTATTACGGGTCCAAGAGATGCATAGGCTTGGGTTGGTCGTCGTGTCTTACATATTTTCTTGCGATCGGATAATTTCTAATGGATTTCCTTTCTATAATATGACTCAAGGTATGGCCTCCCACTACTTTTTCCTGGCCACGTTTTTCTGGTTAGGTATAATTAATTTCGAAATCTGGTGGAACTTTAGGTAAGTAAGGAAATACCAAATAAATTATTAATCTGTACTTATTTATACCTGGGGCTCGATTGCCTCAATTTAATTTTCTTTACCATTCGTTCCACAGGACTCTGACAATTAGGAATCGCAAGTCAAAGAAATGGTTGAGACTAATGATTTATCACGTATTTGGATGCGGTGGTCCAGCCATCATTGTATTAATTGGATGGCTACTGGATGTGAAATATGGACTTCAAAAGTACACCAATTCAAATGACGATTATTTAACAGGGGTGCTGTTTACAATGAATGTTTTTTTTTTAATTCAGTGACAATATTGACTGCACGAGCCTCATCCTACCAAATTATGGGCAGCTCAACTGCTACATTTCCAAAAGGGCGCAGGGACCTTATCTCTACTTTCCCATTGGCGTTCTCCTCGGGTTCAACCTCTTATTTTATTCTCTGACCGTTTTCAAAATGTGCCAGTATCAAAAAAATAGTCAACAGATCAGTCGAAATAAAACGAATGGTCAGTTTCAGCCGTGAGTGAATTATAAAAAATCAAAAAAATTGTCACATCATACACCCTCGTGGTATAAAACTACGTTGGGGTTGAAAATGTTTTAATTTCACAGGGTCGCAGTATTTGCACGTCTCTTTATCGTAATGGGAGTGTCATGGGTCAGCACCTTTTAATTTTTAAATGGGAGTTGTTGACATTACTTAACCACGTTTGAAACTAATTCTACCCCCTTACATTAACAAATGCAGGTGTTTGAAATTGTCGCATGGGCCGTGAAGCCCAACGTGAGAGGAAGCGTTCCTTTGTACTGGGTCATTTTCGACATTGTCACTCTTGTCCAGGCCATCGCCATTTTTGTGATATTCGTCTGCAGAAGGGACGTTGTGGAAAGCTTGATTATCAAATATCCACCATTTCAAAGTTTGTGTAAAACAAGAGTGAATCTAGCCTGAATTGAATGGGCACTAACTGAGATAAATAATTTTGCAGGGGTCCTAGGTCCACTACTTCGACTCTCTTGTTGCACAACTAAGCAGAGTAAAAGTGCCAGTCCAACATCCGGACCTGTGAGAAATGGGTTAGCGCCTTCACCCCAACAACACCCGACCTTGGCCCTCAACGGGGACAACAAAGTTTCAAACATTTCTTCGCCAAGTAGTATTTCTGAGCAAATTGACCTTAATCTCACAATCAGTCTGAAAGATATCGTTGCTGGTCAAATTAGTCCAAGCATGAATCATAAAACTTTTGATACGATGACTACCCACGTAACCCAAGAGCTTCGTCCATGATCCTTAATTTTTGAGATGGTGAACGAACCTCATTCTCAAAAAATCATACCATGTATGCTTGCCAAAATAAATAAAGTACAAAAAATTGTTAAAGTTACTCGAGTGATCTTGGATAAATCATATTGAGCGTACTCACGTCAACCTTCGCATATCTCGCATATCTCGCAAATTGAGCATAGCAACATAACTTGCGAAGTTTTGCGAGATATGCGAGATTTCGCAAAAGATTTGCTGGAAAACCATGGGATTTTTGTTCGCAAATTTACCCAGCAATCGAGCATGTCCTTATTTCGCAAAATTAATTCGCAAAGTAATCCTGCAAGAGAAATTACAGAAATCCATGGAAACAATACAAAATAGGTATTTTTCAGTAGATTTGCGAGATAAGAGAGTTTTGCGAAGTCATATTTTGCTAATCCCCTCACGACAGAAATATTTTGATCTTCGCAAGTTTGCTAAATGAGTTGCGATGCGAAATAAGAAGTTGTCGTGAGTACGCCCAATATTTTATTTGCAAAAGGTTTAAATTTTATTAGAATTTGCAAGGAAAACATACATCGATGGATATATGTAAGTATGCATTTTTCGGTCCACGCACATTAAGTGATTGTGCACAAATGCTCAAGTGGGTGAAATGCATGTAGATAGGTTATCGGAGTGGTATAATGGTGCAGATGCGAATTTATTAGCGATACAATAGTCTCATTGGAGTGCATCAAGCAAAAGATTTAATTGCCGAATTAAATTGAACATATTATAAAGCAACATTACATTACATCCTTGTTCATCATCAAGTTACGAGCATGAAACAAATCAATGTTTATCATAAATTAAATGCATGTGTGGATAAGACTACATACAAATTCAGTATGGCGACAACCAACCCTATGACAAAGCTCAATTACTTTTGGTCCTAAATAACAGAAGAAACATTACACAAACAGTTTGCAGACTGCTTACATTCGTTCCATTGGTCCAAACCGAAAAGTTTTATTGTGGCTGCAAAATCCACCCTATTTTTTCCATTAGAATTTCATACTCCTTTTTAAGGTTAATTCTTAAATAAGCTACAACTATGAAATTTTTATTGGGCTGATGATTGTTTAGCTCATTAGCATTAATGTGGCACACAACTTCTGCTGCTAGCGCCAGCTCGACATTGAAATAATTTCCAAAACTTATCAGCACTTGAAAGATGCCATATTTATAAATTGAAGCAGCTCCTGTTTCAGAGTTGGCGTACATAAATTATTTAGCTCTCTCGTAATGGAATGAACAATAAATGCACGCAATACATACGTTACATAAATGCAAACTAATCAAGGATGGATTGTCAGAGGTATGCATGTACAGCCATATGCAGATACTTGTACACGACACACGTATTAGCATTACAAAGTCAAACATCCGCAGTTTCTACGCCATTGTTCGTGAAGAGGGAGTACATATTTCACATTTGCTTCACAGCAAACAATAACGTTGTCCTGGTCGGATGAATCACATCATAATTTTGCGACAACTAACTTGAGGTGCACATTTATATACTAAATACAGTAATAATTATGGAGATATAAGTGTAATTATTATCACATTAAGATGCAAATATCGATACATATTTCTGAATGGATAACGAAATAAATAAACTGTGTAGTATTTTCCAGAATGGCGCAACAACCTGTGAATCCAACAATGAATCAGAAATTTGACGCACCGCCTCCGTATTTTCCTGAACAAGTGGGAATGCATCAACCTCCCCCACCGGGATTTGTGCAACCAACAATGACTTCGACGACCACGGTCATCACCACGGAACCAATACTTGGCCCCTCTCGTAAGTCATGGGTACTGCATTGATTTTAAACGGCTTGAAGTCTCGTGTGTCAGTCAGAAAGTAAAATCTGAGTCAAATTTTAACTGTGTATCTTCTTTGTAGACCTTGTTGTAACTGGATACGTTTTGCCCCAATCCCATAAATCGTGTAACATCCAATGTCCATATTGTCACGCGGACATCAGCACTGCGACCAGTTCTGAGACCGGAATGTTGACACATTTAATTGCTATTATCCTATGCGTTGTTGTGTAAGGGTTTCAATTTGAAATATGTGAAAATGTACAAACTTATACATATGCGAATGTAAGTATTATTTGAATCATTTTGTGTGTATAGTTGCTGGCCCTGCGTGTGCATTCCTTATTGTGTTGACGGCTGCAAAGATACGAGTCATCACTGTCCAGCTTGTAAAAGGCATCTCGGAGTTATTAAAAGACTCTAACGTTCTAGGACATTACTACACCCACAGCTCAAAATGACGTGACCGCTCTGTTGATGGAACAATAATATCTACGTAAATACATATGCACATATTCTGGTGGTGATGAATTATCCATTGATATATAGCTACTCGTTGACGTTTTATTTTTATCATTAATCGACTACTTTTCAATTACAAACTTGTCCAACGCTATCGGACAGATGTTAAGTTAATAAAATTATGCCATTGAATAAGAACTTTGAAATCACGCTTATTTATTTTCTTTTACAATCGGGGTTTATTTTCTTTTAAATATAATATGTTCATGTAACATGGCACTGAGATCTTACAACTCTGGTACATACATACAATCCACATATGTATTTTCAGGCATACATTTCTTCCCAACGCTAGAATTATACCGAGGTCCCCGTTCCATTGGTTGGCTGAGAGTAGCCTTGCTCGTCGTCGTGGTTGAAGGAGGGGGCCGATGTCGTCGCTGATGTGACCAAGCTCAAGACTTCGTTGACTATTCTCATGTCGTCCAGGATGAGTTTTTGCTGAGCCTCCTTGCTGGTTGTCGGGAACAAGGAGTGGTAATCAGGGGGAGAGTCGTAAAGTGGTGGCACGTCTTCCGGTGTCACTTTCCCTTTTCAAGCAAGCAATGTTTCATTTATTATTATTGCACTTGTTCAATTTTAAGGGTTTAACTCCAAGAAGGATATAAAGCTCTCGAATGTGAGAGCGTCTGAGAAGATTATTATTATTGTTACAAAATAATAGCGAATCGTACGTACACATATGCATCCAAGTTAATATGTACATACGAAAATAAGACAAAACATCATGTGTACATACCGGTGGAACCAGTTTCTGCCGAGTTTTCTACCAAATACCCTTCGAGCTGATTAGCAGTATCATGTGTGTGACTATGACCAACGACGACACGGCGATTGCGATGATGATGTGATCTGCAAAACAGTAATATTCTTATTAAACCAAAATGAATGAAATCGAAAGTTTTGGGAGGTTATTGCTGTCTTAAAAAAAGTTGTGAGTCAACTCAAAGCTGCTGCAAGAGATTTATGTGTATGATCAGTTTGCAAATATTAGGTTTCATTCTTGACGGTGTTTTATTAGGTGGTTCGCAGTATACATTTCAAGCCGCGTATGTGTGGGTGGATTGACGTATGTAAATAATTCAAGTCAAGCTATATAAATGTGTGGCTTATGATATGCGGATCATATACATAAACCAACTTTTAATTAGGGTTAACCACACACATATTTTCACTTACACAGTTTCCGAACAGATTGAACAGTCATCTGCTTCCATTTCGAGATCTGATTCGTCCGAATTATCGTTTTCAGACAAAGATGAACTACCCACAGTTAAAGCGGACACCAACTTATTTAAATTAGAACAATAAATGTACTTGAGACAAAAGAAGGAACAACTGATGATGCACCAACATGCTACAAAAAGTAAGGCAAATGTCAACACGACGCCACAAAATGCCACAAATAAAATTTCCAAGGGCTCCTCCATCGAGGAATTATTCCGTGGACCCGTTATTCTTAAACATGCATTCGTAGAACAAATATGACTTCGGAAAACAAATTTGCCTTGATCCTAGCAGAGTTGTATAACACTACGAAAATGACAAACATTTTGTGACTGACAAAGTCTTGAATTTTCGAATAACTGTACTTCCATAATGTGCAATAAGGAAGGAATCTCTACAACAGGTAGAAGTACATACATATTATGCGGCTTGTACCGTAGTGCATTGCATTGTTGGGCCCATTTATGTTACATATTGTTGAGTGAGCAAATGCATACATACAGCAGGACCCACTGCGTTCGTTCATTTTAGCACAAGCACTACTATTAAGTAAATACAACCCATGTTTGCAGATTATGTTAAAATCTGGTGTCATTTATAAGATTGTTCTTCGTAACGATAAATCACGGCGAATATAAGTAAATAAGTCGTTGCCAATGTAGATGCATATGTACATACGGACGGGGAATGAGGTTGTGGATTTGGCTAGTCTACTTGATATTTTGTTGCATAATAGGTAGTTCCTTCCTGTCTTTTATTCTTGCACTACTCCAAATCCCAATCCAAGTCGTAATATTTAATACAACAAAAGAAACCTGTGGCTGTGTGAAAGATGTGCAGCAGGATCGCATGCAAACCTGTTGCACGGTTTGTGGGGCACTTCCGACAAGAATTGAACAAAATAGGAAATAAGTATGTACATAGTTGAGCGTTAATCACACGTTAACTGAGATTTTTTAAGTACTTAATAATTAATATCCTGACCACTCTTCTCAGCAACGCACTCTTTCTGCTGATATTTATCGGCAGTAATGCATGTAAACCGTGTCATCATGTCATCCGTGAGATGTGGACTAATGACAAGGGTTGTTTTTTAGTAGGGTGATTATTCTTAGCATTCTTAGCATTAAAGATTATATATGCTTATGCATTCATGTATAGAGCGGATTGTATTTATATTTATGTTTAGAATTAAATGAAAGCATGATTTTTAATAGGTGATAAATAGAATCAATATTAAGAACCAAATTCTTGGGAATATTCCTCAACTCAAAGGATAAAAATATAATCATGACATCAATTTCACACGATTTGGCCTGAAATTTAGTCTCACCCAGATTTGGAAGGGGCATACCTAATAAAGAAATGTGTATGTACATGAAAATTCCCTCAACTTACGAAATTCGTCTCGACCCTTTCTTTCTTCGCTGTTTCCACTTGATAAATCTAATCAGGAGCGTGGAACATATGAAAACTAAGATGATCACAATCACAAACACGGATCCGGTCACTTTGAGCAGAAACACTAGAAATCGGTCCACCATCGTTTGACCGTTTTTATCTCAGCTACTTCTCCATAATGATCACTTAAGGCTGGAATGAGCACAAATGTTGTGCATGATAATGGGAAACCTTGAATTTAACTATTTTCCAAAGTGTCCAATGCGGACCAAGTATTTCACTGATGAAGAGGGGACAATAAGCAATTTGAAACTGCCAAGCTTGGGTTTAGGATTGCTCAGTAAATGGTGGGAATTTTTTACTCGCATTATTCCGCAATTTAGCTCCCTCATATAATGTAATAAATAAGATAATTGAGGTTGCATTGTTGATGAATAAATAATACACACGCCTCATTACACCCAGCCCAGTCTTATGCTTCACTTGTGTCGAGTACGGTTAAGGTAAGGAAGATGGATGGTGAACCAACTAACGAAGGCTCAGCCAAACTTAAACGCATTAAATATATAATTCAGCAGAATTAAGCATAAGATAATACCTTGTGATGAGGACAATAATGGTGTCTTGATGAGGATGAGGCAGACATCAAGTGTTGCCATTCATTCGTGAACATTACAAAATTGTCATACTTGCGAAATTTTCATAAACTTTTGAGTAGTTGCAGCCTTCATTAATTTTGTCAACTAAATGCTTAGGCTGCATGGGTGGACTATGGGATATGATTGCGAAAATAAAGATTTAAGTAATTTAAGTCACGACTTTATGGATACACTGTAACCCCATCAGTTTCATACGTTTCATTTTATTACGCATTACAGTGAAAATATGATTTTGAAATATCGTCATATAAAATAGCTTCGCGAATTATGATATTACATGCGCAAATACCTCGATTTAATAGCTGCATATCCTTCCTCAGTCTGTGTAATTGGCCAAAATATATTAAATATATCTATAGGCAGCAAAATGTACTAACAATGCACATGTCAGACATGTTTCGCACGGATCTTCTTGAAACCAGCACTAAAATATCAAGAAACTAAACACAAACAATAGTTAGTATGACATTTGAGCACTTCTGCAGAATTCGCGAAATGACGAAGGTTTTAAGTTGGCAAAATCACGAATTTTCACCATGCGAAACTATACGGAGTTCATCTCTCCGCTTTCCGATTTTCTCCTGCGCTTCTCTTCACCAGGTCATCGGTTTTCGCCTTTCATTCAAAATTGAGTTTATTAATTTCCTAACCAAGTTTTCAACCAATTTTTCATATTTGGCTTTTAAATAATTTTTTAATAATTTTTAATATTTTATGGATCCAATTAAGTTCCTATCACTGGAAATTATTTTTCAAAATTGGTTCACAAAAGTGGATTCGATTTTTTTTCTTTAGCGTTGTATGTTTTTAAAGATTTTAAGGGCAACATCTTTAAAAACAAAGTGAGATGTTAGCTCTTACCAACTTATTACACGTAGGAAACTTGGTATATTTGTTTTTCTTTTGTTCAAATACAAATAAAAATAAGCAATGTGAAAGAAATTTTTAAAAATAATCCACTATTCTCATCCAATTTTTTTAAAAATTCCACTGATAAGAATTTAATTTTCATCTTCAATATTAAAAAGTGTTAAAAAATTATTTAAAAGCCAAAGATGAAAAATCGGTTGAGAACTTGGCTCGTAAATTAATAAACTTAATTTTTCATGCAAGGTGAAAACTGTGAACTGATGACCTGGTGAAGAGAAGCGTAGGAGAAAATTGGAAAGCGGAGAGATGAACTCCGTATAGTTTCGCATGGTGAAAATGCGTGATTTTGCCAACTTAAAACCTTCGCCATTTCGCGAATTCTGCAGAAGTGCTCAAGTGTCACACCAAATGTTATTTGTGTTTGGTTCTTTGATATTTTAGTGCTGGTTTCAAGAAGATCCGTGCGAAACATGTCTGACATGTGCATTGTAAGCACACAAGCAGCAGTAAATCCATTCCATGAAAGCCTGTTTATTTAGTAGTACATATATGATTATTTAATGTAATGGTGTTTTTTTTAGCAAACCATTATATTCTAACTTGGATTAAACTGTAAAAATAATATGCCTAAAAATTAAGCATTTCTTTCGTTTCACAAGGAAAGCTTCATGAAGATATGTTAACAGGAAATCGTGAAAAAAAGTATGAAACGAAAAGGCTAACATGCAATTTTATCTAGCTGGTGCTATAATTCGTTTCAATTTATCCGGTAGCATTTCACACGTAAGATTTTGGCCATGATTAATATTTCACACCTTATTTTGCATACATGGATCACATTTAGCCTCGCCTGGCTGAACTCTATTAAATATTTTTTTGCAAAGGTTATAATAGTTTCCCGAGGATGTCTTGTCCAGCTTAAATAATGCACCAGTGTATGTACGTAAGTTTTTCGTGGCCAGGATCACGAACATCCGTTGTCACCTTTCGAACGGTGAGAACGCGTTCTCAGACCCCATGAGAATGCTACTGAAAATATAAGAATACACGATATAACGATTTCTACTGTGTATATGTACACGTGCGAATTATCATTATGGATTTTGTCGGATTTTTTATTGCGAACCTTTGTACTCTTGAAACATTTTGTATTTGTATACATTTGTAAGGAAATGCGGGTGATGTGTGGTCATCATTTATGTACATTTCATTGTTAGTACTATACTGTCTGTAGTTCAAGTTTCCTTACGTTGACTTTAAAGACTTTCAGTGCCTAATCAAATCACCAAAATTGATGAATGCACCTATGTGCATACCCGTTATATTTACATAAATCCTGCATTTGGAGGTCTGAAATGGCATTAATGAATTTTTCTTTATCGATTACGTAACTCACAAAAATTTAACTAAAGGAGAATACCCGATATTTTTGACATCAGTAATTTAAACCCCGCTACAAACATCGACAGATTTAAATAAATGGTTTAGCCCACATAATTCATCAGAGTACATATCCCCTTGAAAATAAGATTTATTAAATATATGGGTTTGAGTCACGAATAAATTGCTGCAAAAGAATATGCATGAATGGCATAATATTTAGCTGTACTTCGATTGTTGCAAATATAAGTCATGATTAGTTTTTTTTTAATTAGCCTTGTTGGGAGACCATCATTGCAGAAATGAATGTTTTGCAATAAAACTTTCATTTCAAAAAGCTTGTATTGTGTATTACAATTTGAAAATTTCTTTGTGGCGATTAAAGTTCGGATTTATACCCAACACCATTTCGTCAAAGTTTTACAAGTCAACTTAAAACGAGCTCATCTGATTATATTTAACACGTCGCCCACAAGCTTCAATTTCCTCCAATAAAATAATAAATTCCTCCCACACAAACACGTCAATTATTTATAAGTCGTGTCTAAAAGCGAGTCTTCAGTACGGCCATTGGTTTATTATACGCATACATGACTCATTTCTTCGTATACATGCAGAATATGCATTTCCACATGTAAGTATACAGTTTGGTCAATAAATAAATTGGAAATGAACTGCAATCCAACTTTGATTTCAAAAGTAAAAGTGGTTTTTGCAGCCTTCAATTAGCAGAGACGACAGAGTTGTAGGACCTGTTTTTGCACAAAAATTAAAATAATGCAACATGTACAACATGAACAAGGAGGAATAGGATGATGATGATGATACATTGACCTCACGTGTGTGTGACCAAAGATTTAGTGGGGTTCATGCACTTTAAAATTCTTAAGATTACAGAGGCAACAATTAAAGTCGAGTCAGAGTCGGAAATCTAATTCTAATTCATGGGTGCAAGTTGGTTTGGCTGGTTAGTAAATCTTTTAATCTGTAAAATATTGATATTACTCAACTTTCACTTTCCTAAGTTGAGTTGGCTTAAAATTTCCAATATGGAGACCAAAATCCCTGTG